AAATATATAATGTTATTTGAATGTGTAACTAGTGTCGTTAAAACACGGCGCATAACTCGATATTTTAGCCAGAAAAAATAATATTATAGGAGCCTCGAGATCTCGATAATATAATATCCAGACTCTAGACCCCTATCGTTCCTTCTACTAGCAAAATCTTCAGGCATGCGCAATTATTTTTCGTGGGTGGAAATATTGAGTTAGCCAATCACAGTCTCTTTTTTTTAAATTTTTTTTTTGCAAATTTATTTTCCATATTTATCTATGTTTCTTCACGAAAGAAAAATCATAAAAAAAAAAAATTTTTTTTCACATAATTATTATATAAAAACATAAATTATAAAATTAAAATTAAAATTCTACCAAAAAAAAACTTTTTAATGGTTTTATTCATATTTCATCCAGAATAGTGTATTATGCAAGCCTAAAGATTTTCTTTGCGCAAGGAACAAAGGCTTGGACAATCTATTAGCGAATCGAGGCTTATTAAATATTATTTTTTTTCCGGGTATATTAACAAAGTCGTTTTTCAAAAAATCGGCTAAAAACGAGCCGTTTTACAACACTAATTTGGTATATTAGGTAGTGAATCTGCATCGGGCCTAATTTCTCAAGCCCGGCCCGGCCCGGATTTATTTGAATATAGAAATTGATTTTTTTTTAATTACTCAAAATAAAAGGATACATATGTTATATGGGCCGTCTACTTTTTCTACAAATAAAAATCACTTATTTTTATAATTTTACATAAAAAAATTCGACAAAAAATGATAAATGTAAGATATATTTTAAAAAAATTTTCTAAGGGCCCGACCGGGTCCGAATTTTCTTAAAAAATATTCCGGGCCGGGTCGGGTACGGTCCGGGCCTATTTTTTCAGACCTCTAATTTTAGGCGCCTTTTTAGGCGAAAGAGTTGGTCCTGAAGTAGCGGTGTTATAAAACAGCTGGATTTGGGTCGATTTTTTAAAAACGGCTAACTCAATATTTTAGCCAGAAAAGAATATTGCCTAAGTCTGGAGATTTCACTTAATAAATGTGTCCAAACGTTTGCGATATCTATCGAGCAAAGTCGTCAGGTTTTGCTTAATATGTTTCGTGGATTAAAAGATTGAGTTTAACCGTTTTTAAAAATCGCATCGAATCTAGCCGTTTAACAACGCTACCCTTAATGGCCCTCCTCTATATAAATAAGCGTCATCCGTTCCTCGTTTCAAAAAATGGTAACGGAATAACGCGTTTCATTAACTTATTTTTGAGTAACTGTGTAAACGCAAAGCGTTATTTTAAATTTTAGTAGATAATTTATAGCCGAGTTTTTTTTTTTTAAATTTCAGATCTAAACCACCAAAGTTTATTCTTCATTTTTTTATTTAAAAATTTTATTTTTATTAAAAAAAATTTTGATATCGAATAATCAAGATTTAATTTAGTTAAGAAAGAAAGAAAGAAAAGAAAGAAAGAAAGAGAGAAAGAAAGAAAGAAAGAAAGAAAGAAAGAAAGAAAGAAAGAAAGAAAGAAAGAAAGAAAGAAAGAAAGAAAGAAAGAAAGAAAGAAAGAAAGAAAGAAAGAAAGAAAGAAAGAAAGAAAGAAAGAAAGAAAGAAAGAAAGAAAGAAAGAAAGAAAGAAAGAAAGAAAGAAAGAAAGAAAGAAAGAAAGAAAGAAAGAAAGAGAAGAGAAGAGAAGAGAAGAGAAGAGAAGAGAAGAGAAGAGAAGAGAAGAGAAGAGAAGAAGAAAGAAAGATTATTGAAATCAATTCAAGTTACGTTAATCTTATCTTCCCTAATATTATATAAATAGAATATATGCGTGTCATTAATTACTTATTTATTCGGATGAGGATAAAACGATTCAGCCCTATTTCCCCAGTTATGGAACAAATTTTTTTTACGCCAATAAAAACTGAGGGAGCAAAGTCCACACTTTTTAAGCCTAGAAATGTAGTAATGTTTAAAATCACCAAACTTTGACCAACTCCAATATAGCGTGGTCAAGATTATCCCCTAAAAAAATTTGTCTTTAAACATCTAAAGTTTACCCTCAACTTAATGATAGAGAACTATTTTTTTTTCTTCTTAGAATAAATACTCCGTCAAGCCATTTTACGGATGGCCAAAGTTAGAAGGTTTAACTACACTAGGAGAATGTGTCCTATAATTCAAATATTTCAACCTCGAAAACCGGCAGCTCAAAAATCTAGAATAAAAATCAGAATCCAGAGTGAATTCTGATAAAGATTCTCGCGAAGATGATCTAAGTAAGTTGTATATTAAAAATGAAGATCATTTTTTTTTAAATATATAATACAATCCCCCCCCCCTTCCCAATCCTCTGTGCCAGTTGAACGCGTATTTGGGAGCACAACGAAAGTGTCGCGTTAGCGTTAGGCGGCTCAAATCGCTGTTATTCATCTTTGGCAAAAGAAATAAAATACAGAATTTATAACGTAGGAATAATATTTTAGTAATCTTTTTAAGTAACGAGAAACGGCGTTACTTTTTTTTTGAATAGGGATTGATGCTTTTCTGTCTTCGAAGTAAAATTAGTATACTAAATGAAACGTTTTCTTTTTTTATTAAATGATATTGCTTTGGATTATAAGGGATATTATCCGGTTTAGTGTTTTTAGACGGCTCTAACTCAACACTTTAGCCAGAAGAGTATTGCCTAAACCTCGAGATTTCGATAATATATCTCTAGACCTTTTTGTTCCTCCTATGACAAAATCTACAGGCTTGCGTATCGTGGGTGGGATGATTGAGTTAGCCGTCTAACAGCACTAATCAGAGTAATATCGGCGAATTTTAAAATATAATAATATCTGTATTTAAAAATGCAAACATTTTAAATATTTTTTTCCCAATATTTTAAAACATTATTATTATTATTATCTGATTATTTAATTATATATATTATATCGTTATTTTAATTATGTCAAGTATAATTTTTATCCATTTCATTTATAATTATAATATTTAGGATTAAAATTATTTCATGCAAAATATATCGAATTTCGTTATATATATATATATATTTTTTTTATATAAATAATAATTTTTAAATAAATAATTATTTTCGACTTTTATTTGTTTAAAAAATATTTTAAAAAATTTTTTGAAAATGAAATCAAAAATTTTTAATATTATTAAGCGCGCTCCTGTTTGCTTAATTTTTTTTTTTTCAAAAGTAAATTTTATAGCTAACTTTCTCCTTTTCCAACCCAAAAGGAATATAGATGTCGTATGTGGAATTCCGAATCTCTCGATCATAAATTCCTTTACCGAGTGCGATCTAACAGGAAATGCATGTATAGCATTGCATTTCAGCCAATTTTGCCACGAAACTTTAGGAACTACTTCTAATATATAATAAATTTTTTATATGGATTTTTTCATACAAATTTTTTTTTTAAAAAAAAATTACTAAAAATGTCTGTGGCTGAAATTGGCAAATGTTCTACGCATGTTAGAATACGTATTTCCGGTTAAATTGAATTTTAAACTTTTTAAAAATCGCCCTCGGTAACGGATTTTAAATTTTTTTTAAATCACCCTCGGTAACGGATTTTAAATTTTTTTAAATCACCCTCGTCGGTTACGGATTTTAAAATTTTTTTAAATCGCCCTCGGTAACGGATTTTAAAATTTTATTAAATCGCCCTCGGTTACGGATTTTAAAATTTTTTCAAATTGCCCTCGGTAACGGATTTTAAAATTTTTTAAAATCCGCGGTAACGGATTTTAAAATTTTATTAAATCGCCCTCGGTAACGGATTTTAATTTTTTTAAATCCGCGGTAACGGATTTTAAAATTTTATTAAATCGCCCTCGGTTACGGATTTTAAAATTTTTTTAAATCGCCCTCGGTAACGGATTTTAAAATTTTATTAAATCGCCCTCGGTAACGGATTTTAAAATTTTTTTAAATCCGCGGTAACGGATTTTAAAATTTTATTAAATCGCCCTCGGTTACGGATTTTAAAATTTTTTTAAATCACCCTCGGTTACGGATTTTAAAATTTTTTTAAATCACCCTCGGTTACGGATTTTAAATTTTTTTTAAATCACCCTCGGTTACGGATTTTAAAATTTTTTCAAATCACCCTCGGTTACGGATTTTAAAATTTTTTAAATCCGCGGTAACGGATTTTAAAATTTTTTTTAAATCGCCTTCGTCGGTAACGGATTTTAAAATTTTTTCAAATCACCCTCGGTAACGGATTTTAAAATTTTTAAATCCGCGGTAACGGATTTTAAAATTTTATTAAATCGCTCCTCGGTAACGGATTTTAAAATTTTATTAAATCGCCCTCGGTAACGGATTTTAATTTTTTTAAATCCGCGGTAACGGATTTTAAAATTTTTTTAAATCACCCTCGGTTACGGATTTTAAATTTTTTTTAAATCGCCCTCGGTTACGGATTTAAAATCAAGAGATTCCTAATCCCACCAAACGACATATATATATTTTTTAAAGATTAAATATAAATTCTTCCGCAATTTTTTGGCGGAAAATTTAAATTTCCACAATTTTGCTTTAAAAAACAACTTTTTTAACTTTTAAATTAGCACTTTATATTATTAGTTTTTTTATTTATCATTTTTTTTACATTTTTATATTTTTCTATATCTTATTTTTATATTTTAATGAATATTTATATTTTATTATTTTTTTTAAAAAAAAATAAATTTGATTGAATTATTATTATTTAAAATATAAATATTTTTTAACAATTTTTTTTTTTATTATTTTAAAAACTTTTAAAATAAAAAAATAATTATTTGATTAATATGTATTATTTTTTTGTATAACAAAATAATTAGACAGTGAAATTTAATTTTTTTCATTTTTAATACCATATTGATATTTATTTTTTTTATGATTCGGAATAATTTTGAAACTGGGATAATATAATATCTTATCAAGTGTTTCCTTAAATGATTATAATAATAATAAAAAATATCAATTCTCTATTCCCACAAAGTCCAATTTTCCTGAAAAGCAATATTGATCATCATCATTTTTGTCGTTTTTATCATCCAAATTAAATATTATATGCCTTGGGGAGAAAAAAATAATAATATTCAATTATTTAGTGGCCAGGTTAAAATGAAAAAAAAAAAAATTTTTCTTTTTAAAAAAAAATATGCGAATAATTTTTTTTTTTTGACATTATATTTATTATATGTATTTAAAATGATAATTATGTTGCGGTATTTTTTATATAATACAAATCTGCTCTAGCTATCTAGCCCTAAGTCCGATATAGCGTTATTTTAACGGCTCGTTTTGAGCCGATTTTTAAAAAGGGCTATAGCTCAATATTTCATCCAGAAGTAAATACGTAAGCCTGACTCAAGATTTTGTTCTTAGAAGGAACAAAGGTTCGAGTCATAATGTTATCGAAATCTCGAGAGACTTAGGCAATATTTCTCTGGATAAAATATCGCGTTACACAACACTAATGTTTAAACTTACATAACTTTCGATAATTTAAATATCATTTTGAACCAAATTTATTTCAATTTTCGTTTAGAATTTCGTTCTACTAGTTTTATAATTACTCCCATTCGTAAATTCGAAGGTTCTTCGAAGAGCGGACCGGACCTAAAACTATCCAGTTAAATTAACTATATAAAAAAAAGGGCCCAAGAGTCCTCACCCCCCAACCCCTCCCCCTTTTTTTTACTAAAATACTGGATAAGGCAGTGTAGAGTGTTTGACCCATTGAATCGCTATATATTATAAAAATTCAAACAAAATTTTAAAAAATATATCCGTTTTTGGAATTGTAATCTAAAAAAAAGAAGTTAGAAATCGCAATTTTAAGAAAGAAAGAAGGAACGAAAGAAAGAATGAATGAAAGAAAGAAAAGAAAGAAAATTAAATAGGAAAGAAATACCTTTTTGGGGAAACATAATTTGATATGGCGAAATTTAAAATTGATACGTGTTTCATAATTGAATCGATAAAAGTATATTCTTTAGTTACCGATTATGCTTCTCTGAAGAATTTGAAATCCATTATAATCATATACAATGTTACGAGTATGCAGCACTTACATTGGAGTTCTTTCACGATTTTAAACTATTGACTTACAATGTTTGCTTAGAAACTGGAAATTTTTATCAACAATATTATTATTTTTTATATTTTCTTGATTTTGTGGCAACGCGAGATTTCAACGTTTAATTATTTTCATTTAAATTGTTTAAAAAAAATCCTATACTATATAAAAACACAATTATTATCATCGTAAAAAACGTTTTTATTTGCTTTATATAATATCCCCTTCCACCAACAAGGTATACATATATATAAATATGTATATATTTTCACACACATATATTTATTAAAAAATTAATTATATAGCATAAACATAATAAAATTTTTAAATTACCCAAAATTAGAAAATAAAATGAATGAATTTAATTGCTATATCGTGTCGTGTTACATTTTAAAATATACACAATACCATAATTATAACGATTTTTTTTTTCCCAGTTAATATCGTATCGTATCGTACCATAAAATTATTTAAAGTTCAACTATAACCGGTTCAGATAACCCCACAATCCGGTTATATTGAGTTCGGAAACCAAACGGAATCTAGTTACCTTGTATGCCAAATCGGTAGGGCGAATTTATATGGAACTGCGTGGAGCGTGTGGAATAAAAATACATTTTTATTTTGTAATTAAAAGTTATTATCGAATAACATTTCGGATAATTCGAAACCGATAAATGGACTATTATTCGTATTCGATTCGGAACCGAATAATTGCGGTATTCGAAATACGAGATTCGTTAATTAGGACAATTCTTGTGAATTGTCAATTTCTTCCACTTCTCTAAACCTCCGGGAAAATATCTATTCGATTTTTTTCAAATTAGAAAAGTTTTTTTCTTTCTCCTCTTCCATTTTGCTAAACACTGTAGTTGGTACAAACTTAAATTATCGTAGAAAAACGCAAAAAAATTAATTAATAGTTTAAATAAACATTGGCTTTTTTTTTTAAAAAAAATACAATTTCATTCTTTAGTCTATCTAACAAAACAAACACAAATGCTTCTATCTAATGTAAATAATGTAATTATATTAGATTTAAATGTATATAATATAATATAACTGATATAACTTATAGGTAAGGCATGTAGATATTGGGGGGAAAAAATGATATATCTTTTAAAAATTTTTTAAAGCAAAAAACCTTTGAAAAAAAGTTATAAATTGTAAATATTACATTAAAACAAATAATTAAATGATTCAACTTTCAATCCACCAGTAAAATATAATTAATTTATTTGTTAAAACTAATTTTGATTATTTATTGTTACTTAAAAATTTTTTTTTTGAAATATTTTCTAGCTATCCGTCCATTTGGCGGGTTAAATAACACATACAGGATCTTAATTGAAAGGGGGGGGGGATGGGGGGGCATTAGGGCCTCCAACCAAATTTTTTGGGGACTTACTCAAAGAAATTGCAGATTTTAACGTTTTTTTTATAGCCATTTTAATAATACATAAATTATGATTTTAATATTACCTAATTTATTCCATTCACAACAATTATTTGTACTTTTCTATATAGGGACATGGGAGGAAGTAATGGCATCGTGATCTAGATTATTATTCCTCAAAAAGATCGGGTTGGTTAAGAATTGGGTTTAATGCAAATTTAATATCTAAATTTTGCGCTATCAATAATCTATAAAAATTTAAATTTGAATCAAAGCTCTTTAACATAACAATAATTAGTACTTTGGGATGGATACCTTTGTGCCTAAAAAGTTTTTTTTTTTTTGTCGGGCCAATTATAAAACTTGGTATGCCTTGAACTGGCAAGTTATAACGTATAATTATTTATATGAATTTCACATTATTACAAATATGAAATATAACCATATCCAGAATGTAGAATATGTGCACTGGGAGCTAACACGAATATTTCCATTTATTTATATTATATTATATATTCCAAACGCCCTAATTATTTGTACAATAATTTAATTATTATTTGACATTTCAGTTTTATATGCTAATCGGAAATCCTTAATTATCTGCATGTTCGTAAAATTTAACCATTATACTCGTTCTCATCTATTTAATGAACGAATTATTTTTTATGGCCACTCAAAACCTGGCCGATTTTTTAAAATCTATGATTCGTAATTTAAAAATAAATGACGGAAAAGTGATGGAGATATTCAATTTCCGGTTTAATACGATATTTCCGGTCGAAATATGCCAAAAAATACAAAATAGTTCGCTAAGTGCTCTCCCCCCCCTCTCAAAAGAACAAAGTTAAGGCCCTAAGTTTTGGACATCTATTAGCGATATCTCTAGACTTTGAGCGATATTTTTTTTTCTGGTTAAAATATAGAGTTCGCCTTCTTCTAAAAAATCGGCTTCAAAATGCAGCGTTTTTTTTGCGTCACTGTTCATTCTTGAACAACTTATCTTGAATTTGAAGTAGGTAAATCACTTTTCGCCAGTTCGGTTAATTCGCGCATGTAAGTCTTGAGAAATTCAGTCTTGCATCTAAGATTTTTTTTCTAAAATTCCGAGTAAATTATTATTGGAGTTGAACTCAAAAAATTTGGCAGATAAAGTTTCTAGATTTACTTTTTTTCTTCTGATTTGTGAGTCGGTTAGATCCGGTTCTGCCTTCACTAATAAAATATTATATATATTAGACATATCTTATTTGCATAAGGCCACAAAAAAAAACAACATTTAAAATTAATAAACAACAATAAAAATATAAAAAGAAACGCTCGTAAAACGCCTTTTAAAATAAGGTTTCCTCTTTATCACCATTAAAACGTGATAATACCGTATTATCATTCCTTAACTTAAAACCCTAATTTTTATCCATTTAAAACCCGTGATGATGCCGGATAGTTCTGATCCCTTTAAAACCGTGATGATCCCGGATAGTTTTGATCCCTTTAAAACCCGTGATGACCCGGATAGTTCTGCTGATCCCTTTAAAAAATTACGACATGTACATTATCATTTTTTCTAACATATGTCGTTACGGGTCATTCTTTGATTTTACTTGGTACCCCCCCCCCTCCTTATCACCCATCTTTCCAATATACACGTCACGTGACTACTTTCTATCCATTTATACATATTCGATTGGTAGTGTTAGTGTTAGTTTTAAAATTTTCCCAATTTTTATAAGGCAATTTTTTTAATTTAATTTTTTTTTTTAAAAAAATGATAATATATAATATTCACACAAATCCCCTTTAATATATTATCTTTTCAATCCACTAGTAAAAACACGCTCTTTATTTGTTTTTTAATCACTCCTCGTACAAAATCGGAGATAAGAGATTATCATTTTTTTTTTTAAAAATATATTTTGCTTTGTTATACATATATATATATATATAACGAATATGCAGGCCCCCCCCACCCTTACTTCCTCGTTCATAGTTTTTAACGCGAATCGCGGGCCAATATCGAATGAAATACGCTGGCCGTATTTTTTTGTATTTACCGCCACAAATACGCTCTAACTGTGAACGCGGGGTTACCACTTCCGCCCCAAAATCAAGATATAAATGAAATGTAACGTAGGATTAGTGCCGTCAAAAGCTACTTCAAAAAGTAGCGCGTTACCGTTACATTTTCAAATTAAAAAAAAATACAAAGATAATATTTTAAAAAATTAGTCTGCTCTAAAAATATTCTATTATGAATTTGCGACTTTTTTTTTAAAAAAAAAATGAGGAAAAGAAGATGAACGTTTTTATTTGTCACGTAATTAACAAGATCGTTTCTATAATTTTTTGTCCTCCAAATGTCTTGAGGGAAAGGGGGTTGCGATAACTAATTATAAGTTTTGCTTGGACCCCTAGCAGCTGCCCCAACACTGGCAAGCAGTTGAGAATGGTGGTGTGTTGTTTAATTTTAGAAGTTATATTTATTAAAATAAGGAAATTCATTAAATATCCTTAATTGTAACGAAAGAAAGAAAGAAAGAAATAGAGAAAGAAGGAAATAATTTTTGAAGCAAAAAAGCATATTCTTGGATTTTCTATCATTCATTTCATTCTAGAAAACAACTATGAAAGGGGTTGTCTTCGTAGAATACAACCAGCCAATCAGATTCTTCAATTTTTTTTTCCATCAATATATTAATATGATCTTTTAGACAAAATGGAAGATTAACATATGGTCAGTTCGGTCTGAAAGTTGGGATGGATGTATTCATATTTGTCTTATCCCTTTCTTTAATTAAAAAAAGTAACAATGATTATCAAGATGATCGTAATTTCCCAATATTCATAGTTGTGTATAATAAACCTTAAAATTAAGAAATAAACGTGGGTATTTTTAAAAGACCTTAAAGGGTAGACCTGGCCCTTGCTTGCATTATTTATGAATGATGGTTACGTCGCCATAGAGCGATTAATTTGCGAATCTCGAATAAATTGGGTTTGACTCACTATCCAAATTGCCCTTAACCCATTTACTTATATCCTTGATCTAATGGCGAAAAAAAAACAGATGGCATTCCCGAATACCATTTTGGTTTAGAAGAAAATATATCATTCGTTGGATTTTAATCACGTGTATCCCAAAATGTCCTCCTAACCCCAAACACCGATCCGACTTATAACAGCTGAGAGGTTGAAAATAAAAAAGTATTGCGACCCTAACAGATTTTCATTTCACCCAAATAGATATTCCTACCAATTGGTTGTTAGATCCTCAAGTCTGCTATTAATTTTGCAAAAAATATCTTCCCTTATAATTTTATTTGCAGATAATTTATTTTTCAAACGTCCATTTATATATTTTTTTTTTAAAAAAAAGAACACAATACGTGAAAAAAAATGTAAATTTTTTTGTTTTTTTTTTAAACATTTACTTGTATCTATTATATCTAAATGTATACGTATTTGTATCTAATATTATAAAAAAAAGTATATTTATGTGAGCTATTATTTTATATAATTCCAAATCAAAATAATATATATAATATATAGTAATAAAGCAGCTGTAAAAACCTTTACTTTCTTTATATATATATATTTTTTAATTTTTTTCTCCCCCCCCTTGTTTTTTTTTTGTTCATCAAATGAAAAGGAAATTTTTTCTTACAATTATTATAAAGTATATAAAATTTTTCCCTGAAATAATCACCCTCCTCACATACTTAAAATAACTTATATAAAACGTTAATAATGAAAAAAGGAAAGAAAAAAAAAACAGCTAACTAAGATGATAAAGTAAAAAAAAAAATGGAAAAGATTTTTTGTTTTGTTCTGGGATTGAAAGAATCGATTAAGATGCCTATGATTCCTTTTCTCGTCTTCATAGAATTACTTTATGGCACAATGTATTCTTACCGATCTTCACATGTTTTATCGGGCTCCGAACTCGTGTAACGTCGCTATATAGCCAACGTGGAGTCGTGGCGTTTTTTTCCCCCGCTATTTGGAAGTCATATTTTGTTTATATATTGAATTTTATATAACCAATCAACACATAATAAATAAATTTTTTGGGATCCTTTTGGAATTTTCTCTTTGGATTGATCCACCTGATTTTCCATTCCTAGTAGCGTCAACTTGAAGATTGATTCGAATATTTTAGGATAAAAACGTAGCTGCACTCGTTTTTATAGTTGACTAAAGTTAGTTAGTTTAGCAACACTCATTCCTAGGAGATCGTAAGAATGAATCACCTAACCATAAAATACGGATTTTTCTTTTTAAGTTATACATTTTTGTTTTTTTTTTTAAATAAAAAAAAACCATTTATAGATAATTATTGAGACAATATATATATATATATTTTTTATAATGAATTTTAATTGGGATTGGATAACGATAATTCCTTATGAGAATAATTAGCCGGAAAAGGAAGCATTCCTTTAAATGTCATTCCAAATATTCCATTTTTTTTAAAAAAAAAGAGTATTTGTTTTTATATAACATTTTATAATAATATTAAATTAAAATTTAAATAATAAATATGACAAACTAGGAAGGAATATTTTAGTCCCCCCTACCCTCTCTCTTATTATTCTTATCCGCGTTACCAGGTGGTCACGTTCTTTATAAGGACGAGAGTCGTAGACTCACGCGCTAAATGAATGAACGAAATTATATATTCATCACCATTTTTATATTCTGGCGATTCCTGTAACTACTCCAACCTCGCATAAAGAGGTTGGCTTACTCAAGTTACAGATCTTTGACAGTCTGAGCGACATCTGCCAATGATAATAAAATTTCGTAAAAAATGATTCAGGGATAAAATGGTGACACATATTTGAAGGAATTTTAAAACTTAAAATTAAAATCACTAAATTTTATTCAGCAAAATTGATGATAATGTTTATATACTACAATAATAAAAAAAATTACCCCCTGATTTTATTATGACATATATAAAGTTTTAATAATAACAAGATTTAATAAGCAGCTTTAATGAAATTGTCGTTCAATTTGTATATATGGCTTAATTAATTGTCGTTCAATAATTACTATATTATTATTATTATTAAAAGGTCTTAAAAAAAAGTATTATTGATTACTTAAAAACTCTTTTATTATAAACTTAATTTTCCTATATATATAATATACACATAAAATTTACATTTATTTTTGTTATTATATACGATTTAAAAATATTATTACACTTATTTTTATTATTACTAATACTAATAATAAAAAAAATTTTTTTTGTACAGTAGATTTAAAAAAGTCTGATATTTGATTTGAAATATTATAATAAAACTAATTTAATTACTAAATAAATGATTTTTTTGTATAATAAATAAATTTAAAGTTCAATTTATATATTATATATATTTTTAAACTTTCTGACTTTTATTTTTCGGTTTATTATGACACTTTTTTTTTTTACTAAAGAATTTCTTTTTGTTCCCGACAAATCAATTTAGCGAATATAATTTTAGCAGGAAAAAAAGTAAATACACCTTAAAATGATGTCAAAGAAAGATACTCAAATGTGAATTTGGAACAATGGAATTGTCATTTGTTTTGAAGATAAAAAAAAAAGATGATTTTTGGAAATATTTTTTTATTATTATTATATTAAAAAGGTGTATGATTTGAATTTAGGTATTAAAATAAAAATAGGAAAATAGGAAAATTAATTTATTATATATTTCAATTTTTATAAATTGTTTATTTTTGTTTGGATTTAAAAAAAAAATATCGTTATAATATTTATGGGGTAAAAAAAAAAACACTACTTCTCAATTAAGAAATACAGACTAGCAGCTGTTCCGTAGGAAGGTTTGATCCCTCTCTCCCTCCACAAAGAGTCCTAATTAAGACCTTTTTTCCCCAAAATTTGGCTTTGACCCCACTAAGTTCAAAGTTAGAGCGAATTTAGGGCCAAGTTCTATAAAAAATACAGCATATTTTCTATACTCGCCACTAATTCGCTCCAGCTGTCAATGAGGGATAGAGGTCTGCAATGGGCAGGTTCATAACCAAAATGACCGCCCACTCGTTCCATTACCGCCCATTTATCTATAAATTTTGTATGACCCACCCGCGCCCCCGTCTAATGCTTAAAAATTATTTTTAATGGGGGGCTGGTTTGACTCTCTATTTATTTAAAATATATCTTTTTAATTTTAACCATACATATATATATGTAAATATCAGAGTTGTTAAAAGATACTTTTTAAATGGATCTAGATACAGATACAACGTCTAAAAATAATATCTAGATACAGATTATTTAATCAAAAATCTATCTAGATACAGATACAGATACCACATTTTTATATCTGGATACTTGTATCTAGATCCTTTAACAACTCTGGTAAATATGCGATATTATGAAAGGAAACTAATATTTTTTTAAAATAAATTTGAAGTCTGTTCTGCTCATTTCACCGTGAAAAAAAAAAATTAAAAATTTACACCCCCATTTTACAATTTGATTTGACCCTCCCACCACTACGCCCCAACCATTCCCACCCCCAGAAATATGGGCGGACGGGCTAAAAATAGGCACAATGCAGACCTATGATGAGGGGGTGGGGTTAGGCCTCTTGTCTACAACGTTAACTAATTATTTAAAAAAAAATTAAACATAGGCCACCCTCAATTATATTTTTTTATTATCTTTAAAAAAAAAATACATTAAATTAAAAACTTTTTAGTTTTTTTTTTCGCCGATAATTTTCTTTTTTTATTATTTTATTAAAATAATTTCATAATTTATATTTTATATTCTCCACGAAATTTCAATTAAAAAATATGTTTTTTAAAGGATTTTAAGATATTTTTATTTTTACGACTTTTCTTTTTCTCTAAAGAATTCTTTTTTTTTTTTTTTAAAGAATATATTATTTTTCAAATTTCGTTTATTTTTTTTTTATTACTTTTTCTTATTTTTATTTATTTTTGTTATTTAAATTTTTGTTTTTGTATTTTATTGTAATTATTTACTTTCTGTAAGGAAAAAAAAATTTTGTTGGTAATTATCGGAGACTTGCCGGAACCGGGCTGAATACGGTTTTAAAAATCCGGGCCGCGTATATTATTATATCTGATCCGATTTAGCCGGTTTTTAAAACTTCTCCAATTTTTGCAGGGGGTCAAGAAAATCACATAAACATTGCCCATGGCTGTTTGTGACGTAATTTCCGGTTAATTAGACTCACCCGATGTCTATGTGAGTGAGATTGATCGCTATAAATCTTAAAAGTGAAGGGAGTAAAATGATGATTCTAGGGTTAGCTGAGCTGTCAATTATTACCTCTGTTTAAAATTACTATGATAAAGTCAAGGATAGACTTACACTTTTGTCTATTCTATCTCGAATAAGGATGATGGATTGACACGTAAAATGACATAATATATTATATTTAGGCACATCATGGAGTCGCCTTCCTGAATTGTTTAAAACCTGGAACTGAACGTTATGGGCATGGGTTCTATTGACCGACCCGACCCTAGCCTCCTTATATAAAGTTTTTCCCACTAGTTATATAAATATAGAGCTTTTTTAAGGCCATATATTTATATCTTGATACTTTTTGAAATGTATCTTTTAAACTACATTCTACTTGTCAAAAAAAATATGCTAGAAGTAAATAAAGTAATTCCCTTCTTCCGTCTTTCTACTAAATGGTCACGAAAGAGGCTTCCCAAACATCCCACTGGTATGTAGGACCCCATAACAATTCGCAAAAACACTATTATCGTCGTAACACATTCGACAAAGCCATCGTGTACGTTTCTACGACCGCTCCTTCTGTTCCTCACTCCAAAATGGCCAACAAATTTTCTTTCGGCAAAGCGGCCCCTATCGCCGCCAAAACCCATTCTTCTCACGCGTATTCCTATCAATCCTCTCGCCCCCCGAACCCATCCCTATATTCCCAGAAACCCGTTATTCCCTTTAAGGAAAATAATCATCCCAACTACCCGATGACCATAATACCTCTCACGAATCTCACTAAATACGTAGGCGAAAATGCCCGTTTTAAATGTCAACTTAACCCCGAATCTCGGACGACTCCTCCTGACAAGAAATTGAGGTTCAAATGGTTCAAGAACGAGGCGCCCTTGCTTTACAACCACGATGACGGCTTGGATTACGAGTCCCGCAAAAAGGAATCTTCCAAGGATTTTTACTATTCGGATGCCCTTGCTCGATCTCGAAGGAGTGGGAGATCGGTTAAAGATGACAAGGATCTAGATCCCGATCACGGGCACCACAAAAGGTACGCAGGGGACGAAGGTTACGAAGATTCGGCCAATTATATTTCGGACAAGGACAAATATTCGATCAAAAATGTACACATTTTTGCATTTTTTTTTATTCAAAAAAGAAAAAATTAAAAATATCATTAGGATTACTATTCGGGTCGAGCAGAGATTAAAAATAAACCGGTATTCGTTATCGATAACGGTTTTCCCATGTCATTAATCGATGTATAATTAAATAAAAGATTTTTTCAAAAAAAAATATACTTAATAAATCGTCCTATAGACTAATGACATACAATAATAATACCTTGACTGACGATGCATTCCTTAAAAGTGTACATCGATGAAAAACAGCTGGTGACGCCATTTTGATTAACCCATATCACAATTTGAAAAATTTTAAACGAGAGGCCAATTTTATTCCCTATGTCTGACGCAAACTTTATTAAAGAATTGCCTGATCAGCGAGATGATAAGGAAGCAAGTTTATCTATTTTAATAGTAAAGTTTCTAACACGAGAATAATTAACTATTAAGGGTTACCAAAATGGCGGGTCCAGCTGTGCTTTCAACGACGCTTTCAAATGTCTTATTATGAATGAATCGTCAATCTAGGTATTATTATGTCATTTCTGTGGTAGGGAGGGGAGGAAGAAAGAAAAAGACACTGCCCGATCAGACACGTTGCGGGAATCTTGATTTTTTGTTTAATTTACTTCGGGCCAGATTTAGATCCCGACATTTTCCTAATCCTCTTTTTTTTTTACCCAAATTTTTCCGCGCCTATTTATTTTCCCCTTCTATAAATTTTTTATCGAACTTGGACCGACTCCCTATTTCTAAATTACGAGTTTCGAACTAGCGGGACCTATCGCTCCAAACAAACCTCCATTAGAGTGGCTCCAGTTATGGTAGCAGAGCGAACGAAACAGGTCAGTCAGGATGATAACCAAATTCCGTTTCTAATGTCCTCTTTCTTTTCTGCATTTTATATCTTCTCAATTCTATTGTTTTTTTTTAAAGGGAGACTGTTTTTTTTTATTTAATAACCCATTTTTTTGTTTTAAGTTGGATTTGTTTCATGTCAAACATCAAATTATTTTTTTTTGCGCCCATTAAACTTTTTGATGTATATATTATTATATCGATTTTTTTTTGGTTCTCTACGCTTTTTCGAAACGTTTGTAAAAAAAAATTAATAAAATAATATAACATTTCCCCGGGCTTTTAACAATAATTATATTAAAATTAAATTCGCGTTTCATTTTTATCTAATTAACGCGCGAAATGTGACAGCGAGTAGATCTTTCCTTCATGATGAATAGAGAGGTAAAGGAAGGAAGGAAGGAAGGAAGGAAGGAAGGAAGGAAGGAAGGAAGGAAGGAAGGAAGGAAGGGAAGGAAGGAAGGAAGAAGGGGAAGGAAGGAAGGAAGGAAGGAAGGAAGGAAGGAAGGAAGGAAGGAAAGAAAGAAAGAAGGAAGGAAGGAAGGAAGGAAGGAAAGAAAGAAAGAAAGAAAGAAAGAAAGAAAGAAAGAAAGTGATTATCTTAGAGATAATTCAGTGTTTCTTGGCTTTTAATATATTTTTTTAAATCTTCAAGGCCGGAAAATATTCAATCTTGAGGCTGAGAAATTTGGAGATTTATGACAGAGGGTTTTACAGATGCGAAGTGGACGACGGGGCTAAACGAACGCAATCAACGGGATGGCTCTACGTTAATCCAGGTTAATAATAAAAAAAACATTTTTTTTGTCTTGGAAAAAAACGCTTTGAATATTAGATTGATCTATCTCCGCATTATTTTTATTATGTTTTATAATCCCATGAAAATTCGTTTTAATAATGATTAAGGTGAAGAATACAGTTAAGTCATGTGATAGGTTTTAACCGGTTACTTTAGATATTTACCCCCTCCCTAACCCCAGAAAAGGAGAAATCTAAATTACCTCTCCCCCACCCCACCCCATTTCAAATCAGTGACCATCTTGCGACGTACTACCCCCTTCCTACCCGTGGTTCCCTGGTTAGATTAATCCTATATACAATAACTAAAGCGATGACATCTGCCGGTTCAAATGTTGTTAACTGTCATTATTTGTCATGCCATTCCTTTATCCGTCCGTCCAATCAAAATATTATAACACACGGAATATTCTCCATTTTGATTTCTTAATTTTAAGATCATCAATATCTTACAAAATCCCCCGCGAGAATAAGTTTTCTACGAACATCTGTTCGTTCTGAAAAGAATGAGACAAGCTCGGGATTGAAAAATCTTATGAGGTTGGGAAATAGGGATTTCAGCATTTCTGTCTGGAAGTATTTGTCGAGGGGAATGCAATCAGTAAATTCCAAAAATTACAGGAAAGAAAAAGGAACCAATCAGAGACCGGGAGGCCCGCTTCGGATACACGGGCCGGGCCGTATTTTAATTTTTTGAGATATACTCGGAGCCGCGCCATGAGACCAAATATTTTTAAAAAGATCCTGGCCTGGCCCGAAAATATTGATACCCGGGCCGGGGACATGCAAATAGTAACCTCCGCAGGTCTTAGATATATATATTGATTAAAATGTCGATTATAAACTGACAGATACGACGTTTACCATGTTTTATGTTGATTTTTTTTTTAATTTAAAGATGAAAATCCTCTGAATCTCAATATAGTGATCCCAAAGTACCCAGAATTAAATTTCGACGGCAATTTCCCGATCAAAGATGAAGAGTTATTATACCTATTCCTTATTAATAATATTTTTATATTTATATATATAGTAATTCACTTAATTTATGTGTTAATGTTATTATATCTGCCGATATAAGAGAGAAATATATTTAAAAAAAAACAATGTGAAGCTTAGCAATGCAAAAAAAAACAAACAAAAAAACTGTTTTTTGTTTAAATGTAAAGAAACGGGGAAAATAAAAAAAGAAAATCAAAATGAGGGGGATTAGTTAAAAAAAATGATAGGGCTGTGCCGATATTTAATATCGGATCGGATCGGTACCGATATATAACACTTTCCGAAATATCGTATCGGACCGATACCCGGAAAAACCGATTCGATCCTATCACTTTTCCTTTTCTTTTTGTTATTTTATTTTATGTTATGTGTATTTATTTTACATAATTATAATATTTTTTTTTAGTCTTGCATAAAAAATATTGATTTCTTAATTACATTTGGTTCAAAGGGGGAGGGGGGGGGGTGAAAAATCAGTATAAATATCGGATCGGTATCGGATCGAGTTTGAACCAGTATAGGAAAATATGAGATCGGATCGAATATATGTGGACCGGCGCAGTCCTAAAATTAATTGGGTATCGAAAAATATTCATAGATTTTCCATAAGGATTATAAGTAATAATAATTTTTTTTTAAAAAAACAGGAAAAAAAACAAAAAACAAACATTTTTGGTTTTTTTTTCTCCCCCCCCCCTAGTTTTAGCTCCCTTTATTTAAAGGGAGAAGGGAAGGGGTGGGGGGTAATAAAATAAATACAAGTCAGCCCACTTTATTTTTTCAAAACTTTGATTTTTCCCGGTGGAATAATGTCGCGCGACGTAACTGTCAGATAGAAAAGAACTCAGGGATTACGTCACTACGTCACTCAAAAAAAAGATATATATATAAAATTCAAACATATTTAAAAAAGAAGTAATCCCCCCCACCAAGGCAACAACGATGAAGATAACGAAATAAACAATTCCGAAATCCTCGAGGACAAAATACTGAACGAGCAAAATGAGAAGGTGCACAAAGCTCTGTCCTTCGATTTGACCCACCATATGTCGGGGCGATGTGAACCGTACGCGGGGAGGATTTGCGCCTCCGTATTTGCCAAGTACGACTCCCGAAAGAACCCCGGAGTTGGGGCGTTAGGAGACGGGGTTGAAGGAACGAATCCGGTGTTTATTAAAGGAGTCCTAACACAGGTTTCTTTTTCTCTAAATAATTCGCTCCCAAATTTTTTTTAAAAAGTCAATATTTTTTTTAAATAAAAGGAAAGAAAATAAAGAAAGAGAAAGAAAGAAAGAAAGAAGGAAAAAAGAAAAGAAAGAAAAATTTTACAAATTTTGTATTTTTTCTAGATTTTTTTTTATTCATTCCTCCTATTCCATTATAATATAAAGTTGGAACTGGAGAACCATTTGAAGGGAATCCTGGAACTGATCGAAAACAATTTCAACGACAAAATGTCCCCGGAATGCGCCAAATTTAAACTACCTCTCATGTGCTTTAAAACCTTTCCGCCATGTATCACCGATTCGGTCGCTATACCCTCGCAAACATACAATAGAGTAACATTCGATGAATATATACATTTACAGTTACAAAATAAAAGTAACGGGTTCATTTACGTATATTTTAATTATTATTATAGATTCACGCTAAATCACCCGCCGACGACAATCGTCTACCGCGTCCCCGACTTCTGTGCAAGGACGAATGCTTAGCGTTGCAGAACGGTGTATGCCAGACCGAGTTTGGATTGGCCAAATCTTACAAGGGCATAAAAAATCACCTGCAAACTTGCGACATTTTACCCGAAGTGGCGACACCACCGCACCCTGTCGAAAAGATCGATAATATCGACACGAAAATTCTTCCCAATTCTCCGACAGAGACCGAGGACTGTCTCAGATTGGGTGTTATCGAGAGAGACGACGATAGGTCGCCAGTTAAACCTATCGCTGCCAATTATATTATAGGGGCGGGAGCCAAAACATTTCCGCCCGAAAACGCAGCTGGTAATAAATCCGAAATTTTTGAAATCGCCTTTATTTAGTTATAAAAAATCAAAAAATAAATATAACATATTTTTTTTAAAAAATCCGGGCCGGGCCTGAAAATATAAAACCCGGGCCGGGCCGATCCGGGGCCGTTCGAATGGTACCTCTGCAAGGTCTCTGATAATAATTCTTCAAAAATAATTTTGATAAAAGTATTTTACACACACACTGAAGTTTTTTTGATTGTAACAAACAACGTAAAATCTATGAGATTTAATTGAATCATAGAAATTGAGTATAGAATATTTTTTATACGATATTTCAAAAAAAAAAAAAATGAAAACAATTTTTTTTCTAGTTATCATAAACCAAAACACATCGGAAGTTATGATTGTATAGACATAATTATTAACATCGACATCTCCTTAACCGACAACTTTACCCTTATTTTGAGCGTTATAACGAATCTCTACTGGCGGCTTTTTTTAAAAAATTAATTCCGCCCAACTTCCGCGAAGAGGCTAGCTGCTTCCTATCCCTATCTATTCGGTAATTTCACTTTTAGAACCCGCGATAATATTGCAGACTCAAAAATAAGAGGGCTTGTTTGACTTTATCATAAAAAAGGGGGTTTTTTTAAAATACTCTTTAAAATGAAGATCCTTAAACAAATTCGGGCCGGGCCAGGCAAGACGGACAAATAATTTGTTTTTATTTCGGGTCGAGCTTTTCGGGACAAATTAAAAAATTCGGGTTCGGGCCGGGTTGAAAAATTCGGGTTCGGAAAATTCGGGTTCGGGCCGGGGTGGAAAAATCGGGTTCGGGCCGGGTTGGAAACATCGGGCCCGATGGGGACCACTGCGTTAAAATAACAATTTTTTATTTTGACAAAATTATTGGGTCGTAAAAATAGAATACTTTATTCGATTATTTAGCGTTATAAACTAGGTAACCGACTAGGTTATTATACCAAAATTTGCGATTTAAAATTAAAATAATTTTATTTTTGTGTCACTGGACCTGAAACTTCTGATTTCCGGTCAAAAAATCAGAATCCTGAAACCCCCTGAACCCGAGTCCATTAAAATAATTTCCAGGATTATCGGTTCCTAAGGGTTCTAACAAAAGTGCGAGTTGATTTATGGATATATTGATTTAAAAAATGTTTGCGAGAATTCATATTAGAGGGTTAATTTACTGTTAAATTTAAGAACAGGAAGTTAGAATCACTCTCGAAAAAAAAAAATTCTGAACCAAAAACCCTTTTTTGGTACAGGGGTTCCAAATTCTGGTAACAAATGAACTTAAGCTACAAATTTGTTAAAATTGAAGTGGATCTTCTATATAATTTTTTTTTTGATGAAAGCGATTATGTATTGATCTGAAAACCTCTTTAGTAAAAAAACAATTTATAGCAGAAGCGTTCAACGCTTTTGTTTGAATGTAACAATCACGCGTTTTTTTAATAACGCAAAACAAAACGCTTATCGATTTGCGCATTCGTAATTTAAAATCGATTATTTGAAATAAAACGCAAAACAAAAAGCTTCAATTCGTAATGAACTATTAGGACAGTCGCCTTACAAAAGTATTTTTTTAATATACAAATTTGTATTTTTTAAAAAATGTTACGATTATTCAGAAATCGTTCTCCCCTACGTAACCGCCAATAACATGGAAATTCCGCCGTCGAAATTCGTTAATAACGGTGACCGTCCGCTGAACGTCGTCGGCGATAGCAACCTGACAAAAAACTTGATGATAATCTTACCCAGCGTAGGTCTAGTATTAGCGTTGTTCATATTTATCCTCCTGGGATGCTGGTACCAAAACAGGCGCCTGAGAGCGGGATCAAAAAATTCTCCCCAAATCCGCGGTTCCAATATCAGCATCAACCATTACAAAGTTAGTGCTAAAAGATGAAGCTTCTTATTTAAAAACCCGTTGTGTATATATAATCTGCACCATAAAACGATTGATCTTCTTATACATTAATTTATTACTTTATTTTTCATTAAAACAAGTACATTATTATATCTGAAGACAAAGCTTTCTCAAACATGTGATCATTATTTTTACAATAATATCCACTAAAAAAATACTAATTCTAAAAAAAATCACTTTTGATTGACATTTCATATATATCATTATATATATATATCAGAGACCTCCGGGCCTGGCCGTATTTTTTTAAAAAATTTTATACAACATGAATTAATTATATTGGTCAATTAGATATGGTTATAATGATTATATATTAGTTATGATTAATATAATGTTTGGTGAAAGATAACAACTAGCTAACACTCATAGTATCTATTTACATAATGAGATTATAGTTTTCCTGCCATGGAATAAATACTCAAAGGATTAAATACATCATTATATAATATATGTTATATTTTTATTTTTTTATTAATTAAAATATCATTTCTATTTTTTTTTTTATAAATATACTTAATATAGTATATTCTCAAAATATTATTTACACAAATTTTTTTTTATAGTATCGATTTGTTAATATACTAAATAACTGTTTAGAATTAAAAAAAATAAAAAATGTCGTAGTGTTGTTAGACCGCTCTATTTGAGCCGATTTTTAAAAACGGCTAACTCAGTGTTTTACCCGGAAAAATATTGTGCAAGTCGAAAATTTGTCATAGAAGGAGCAAAGGTCTAGACATATAGTATCGAAATTTCGAGGCTTAGTACAGTATTTTTCTGGCGAAAATATTGAGTTACCCGTTTTAGTAATCGACTCAAAACGAGTCTTTTAACAACATTAGCTAATATACTTGCTTATTTAAATGGTGACACTCGCCGAAAAATATGATAAAAATACGAAACAATGAATTTTTTGTGCATACCAGGTCGAATATAATTTTAAAAAATTCCGAGCCGGGCCTAAAAATTTTTTTTTATAAATATCCGGGCCGGGCCGGGCCGGGCCTAAAATTTTTAAACCCGGACGGGCCGGGCCGTAAAAAATTTTTGAAATATCCGGGCCGGCCCGAAACTTTTTAATCAGGGCCGGGTCGGGCCCTGCAAATGGTACCTCTGCAGGTCTCTGAAATATATAAAACTACAACAGTTATATTTTTAAATTTCTGATGAATCAACAAAATATGTATGATATTATTTTTTTTGATCCTCTAGGATGATAAGTCAAATAACAATTACGAAAAAAGTAGCAGTTTCCCTTATTACAACGCCTCCGAGATTATCCCGCTGAAATATTCGGCGAACGGGTTTTCCAAACCGGATAACGTTGTTGACAATTTCTACCACGAGACGCGCTCGAATATAAGCAACAACCAAAGTAGTAATCCATCTACGGATAATAATTTGATGGAAATTCCGTTCGAGCGGCTGAACATACTTCAGGAGATAGGAGAAGGTGAATTTTAAATTGTTGAATTTTTTTTGAGATTATGGTCAGTGAGCATAAAAATTACAAATCGAATATTTTGATCGAATAGCGTATTCGCACGATTCGACGAATAATAAAAACGTTGATCGATTTGATTCGTCGAATAAGGTGATTCGAAAAATTAAATTCTTTAAAAAAATATATATTTTCGAAAATTTAGATTTCTAGTTGTTGTTTAAAATGGTTCGATTTGAGCCTATTTTTAAGAAAGGGGCTAAGTCCGCATTCATAGTGGATCCGATCCGACACGATTTAACAGCTGGTCGATTTTTAAAATCGGTTTATGAGAATCAATTTTTCTTTATTAAAACCAATATTTCTTAGGTTATTATCATGTATAGAAATTAAGGATAAAATTAATGTTATTTAAAAAAAAAAAATTGATCTCATAAACATATTTTAAAAATCGATCAGCTGATCCACTATGAATACGGCCTAACTAGATATTTTAGCTAGAAGGAATATTGCCTTACGCTACGAGATTTAGCTGATAGATATCGCTAACCTTTATATGGCACCCACGAGTGAAATCTCTTAGAGTTGCGGTAATATTTTCGCTTGGACAATATAATATTTAAGTTAGCCGTTAAAAATCGGCCGCTTCTAAGTCGTGACGTTTAAAACATCACTAAACCATTTTTATGTATTAAACAGTTTAAAACTCAACGGTATTTTAACGCTTGGAATAATATTAGTTAGGTTTTAAAAAAAAAATATCTTATTAATTTTAGTCGCACGCTTAGGGTCAATCATTAATTAACTGCACATGAAATGATATCAGCTGTTATTAAAATTTAATAATCGCGCGAAAAACGCGACAATTTCGGCTTCCTATCCTTTTAACGCGAAAAATAGATGCGGATACGCTTTTTAACTCAATTTCTCCACATTTTTTTTTTTCGAAAAAATAATATTATTTTTTTAAATTTAGGAGTTTTCGGTAAAATATACAAGGGTGAATTCAAAACCAAGGAAGATTTTAGGGTTTGCGGCGGGAATGGGTGCACTACTCCAGTTATGAATAAACTCCCTGTCATAGTGAAATCCTTGAAGCCAATCAACAACGTCTATCTAAAAAGGGAGTTCGAAAAAGATATTGACACATTGTCCAAACTGAAGCATCCAAATGTATCGTGCTTGATAGGTAAAACGATCCTTTTTTAAAAATTCATTATCCATTTTTCAGTCATGACACAATGTAAATTCTATGAAAAAAAAGGTATATGTAAGCAAAATACGTCCAATAACGTCCATCAAAACATAATGTTTTCGGTTTTCGAGGATTCGATTAACTGCGACCTCCACGAATTTCTTTTGCTGAGATCCCCTAACTCCGACGTCGGTTCCTCTTGTCATAGCGATTCAACGCATCACAGAGACATGATGTTGGGTAAATCGTAATATACCATATATACCATTGTTATCAGGGTTCTTACTAATGTCTATCATAGATCTAGAAGATAACGAATGCATATATACAATTATTGCAGTTGATTTGATAGATAATAAGCGAGAATATTTTACCTTTTTTTCCTCAGAGCCCTTGCAATATAGATTTTCCTTCCACTGTATGAAAACAGTTAGTAGTAGCATAGTAGCAGAAATAATTATTCCCAAAAATTTAAATCTTAAATTGGTCTTATATCAATTTGCCTCAAAATCTGAAAAAAAAGAAGAAAAAAAAGGATTATTTTACCCATTTGGAAAACCTGCAAGAACAAACCATATGCAGATTGGATGAAATTGATACACTTTATTTGGGAAAAAAATAACCAAAATAACATTGTGTAAGTCTGAAGGTTTTGCACTCAGCTGGCAGAAATGCTTGGACCTCTTTTCGCGCCAAATCTCGATACCTACACAATTATTATTTTTTAGCTAAAAATCTTGATCAGGGCCGCAATAAAGTTTTATAGGGGAATAAGCTTACTAACACTGCTTTCCATCCTTCGGTTTTATGCCTAGTGATCTCTACTGGGCCTTTTTATGAGCCCGGCCTGAACCCGATTTTTTTAAAAAAAATATTAGACTCGACCCGGCCCGAACCCGATTTTTTTTTAAAAAATAGGCCCAACCCGAAGCTCAGGACCGGCTTTCATTTGCCGATCTCAAGTTATGCCTTTTCCCACTAATTCACTCAAACGAAAATTTAGCTTTTTAAATCTTTTTTAAAAAAAAGACCAAACAGATTTTCTCTACATATCGACGAAGATAGCCGAAGGAATGAGATACCTATCCGACCAAGGAATCATTCACAGAGACCTGAGCGCGCGAAATTGCGTGGTTAGTCAGAACCTGTCCATCATCAAAATATGTAACGTGGGTGGGTTCATCTCTCACGTTTTTTACTCCAACGATTATTGCTTCTTTACCAATTACGATCAAGATTTGATAGACACTACCATGGATTTGAATCCGGATATCGGTGGCGGTAATAACGACTCCGACCCTTGTAAATTGAGCGATTGGGAAAAGGCGTCCTCTGGGCGTTGTCGGAACAAATACCCGATTCCGATAAGGTGGATGCCTCCCGAAGTCATCGAGTAAACTTCTTTTTTTTTATCGGTCATATTTGTGTTCACAAATTTAGCGTTTTTCAAAACGCAAATAACACATTTTAAATGCGTTCGTTTTAAATTAGACAGCATTTTTGGCTGCGTTTTTTTTATTTGCGTTATGGAACGCTGCCTTGAAACGCTAAATTTGTGCGCACTATAATGTTTGATGGAGTATGGTATACTGTATAGTTTTAAATATTGTTGGCTTTAAAAAGAAATTTAATAGTAAATTTTTACTATCAAAAAAATCAAATTTAGAGAATAATTTTATTTTTCCAACTTAAAATCTTTTAATTTTTTTGATCATATCCAAATACAATAACAGATATCGCAAATACAGTTTAGAAACTGACCTATGGAGTTTCGGCATTTTACTATGGGAAATTTACAGCTACGGTCTTAGACCATTCTATGGATACAGAGACGTAGAAGTGGCAGATCTGATAGTCAGGAAACGTTACTTACTTAACAAACCTTCCGATTGTCCGGGCTATATCTACGAAAGCATAATGTTGCCCTGCTGGGATGATTCTCCCTTTAGGAGACCTCCATTTAAGGTTTTACCCAAATGTATTAGAAGTTTTAAATCATATTTGGCACACGTATAACTATAATGTTTAAAAATCGAAGCGTTTTCGTTTTGCGCCTTTCCAAATGTCGTCAATATTGATAAACGTTTTTAATTTAGGGTTAAAAAAGACTCGAAATAAGTAAGCGTTTTTCAGAAAACCCCCTAAAGCTAAATCCTTATGCTCAATCAGTGCTATTACTTTTACTATTCAAATTAACTTTTCATCAACCTGTTATAAGTTATCGATAGCCGAAAATCAGTCTATAACATTTAATGTTGCCAAAAAGGAATTCCTGACAGTGTTAATAATCTTTATCATTTCTTCATATGAAGATGATATTATAATTCATTTTTTTTTAAAAAAAAATAAATCATATTTAGACTATCTTAACTAGATTTCAATCCTTGCAAATACGCGGGAAATTATTATCGATAAATTCTAAGAGCGCTCGGATGGGCCAGGCTAATAGCGCGAACGATAAAAATTCTCTTAATAATCTCAGCAACGAAAGCGGAAGTGGCCGTCACAGGGGTAGTGTTAAGATAAGCGGTAACGACAAAAGCGGAAAGCAGCGCTCTGCCACGGAGGCGGTAAGAAAGGGGGAAAACTCTCGCTCCTCCGAATCCTACCAAGAAGAGCGCGTAGACGTATTGGCATCGTCTTTCCTAAATGACCATCGTTATCACGCACCGCAAGCATCCCATATGGTATCATCCAAAGTGTCACCGCCCTCGGTCAACATCATACAGAACATTAGACCCAGCAACGGGATGCCCTTTAATAACGTCGCCCAATACCCGAGATGTTCGCCATCTCACGAAATCGCGAAAGGGGGGGCCGAGTTTACTAGGCACCCGTCGCAACAAGCCGAGTTTTTTAAACATGGCGGTTATTTGGTCGACGATTTGCCGCCACCGCCTAGAAACGCTTTACTCAATTATTTCAAGTACCCCCCGTCGCAATCAACGACCGATGATAACAACAATTATTTAGAACACACTTCGTTCAATTCGCAACTGAAGAACAACGCAATTTTCGCCAACGACAAAACGCACCAAAACACCGCCTCGAGCCAGGGCAATGGCGAACCGAACATTAATTTGGGCGTTTACGAATCTATCAATGATATAGGGGTGTTCGGGAGATGAAGGATTTGGCAATATTCTTATATTCTTAAACTCTAAAACCCATATAAAAAAAAATTGAATTTGGAAAAGAGTAAATAAGTTTCATAAATTCCGCAGTTTATAAACTTTTCCGACATGGCAAAAAATGGCCATATACTTATTTTTCCACGCGAACACAAAACAAAAAAAGACAAGTTTCATTTTATGATGTACACAGCCCGAATTCATCCAGAAAAAGCTGCGCGTTCATAGGAGCATCTTTAAAAACAAAAAACTAATATATAATTATAAATGCAAATTGTAATAATATTTTCTTCTCTTCTCTTCTCTTCTCTTCATACCTTTTTATAAACAAGATTATTTCCGATTTTCATTTTTTTTGCGCGGACTGAAGTTGTTTTTTTATTGTAAATATTTTTCAAACATAATTAATTCCCTCCCCCAAACACACATTTAAGTCATACACATCATAATTCGTACATAAGGGTCTTATAATATATTTCTTCGATATACATCATTTTTTAAATACAAATTTCTTTTTTTTTTCAAGTCATTTTTTAATTTAAAAAATAATTTTTCATAATTTATTTATAAAAATATTAATCGCTAATTTTAAGATATATTATTTAAGAAGATAGAAGAAAAAAAAATTTTTTAAATGATAATTTTCCTATGTTAGGTATATGTAGTGTTTTAGACGGCTCGTTTTTAACTGATTTTTCAAAAACGGCTAATTCAATATTTCATCCATAAAAATATTACGCAGGCCTGAAGATTTTGTTCATAGAAGGAACAATGGTCTAGACATATATTATCGAAATCTCGAGTCTTAGACAATATTTATCTGGCTAAAATATTGAGTTAGCCGTTTATAAAAATCGGCTCAAAACGGGCCGGGCCGTTAAATAACACTAGATTTTAGCAGTATTACATTTTATTTAGTAATCAATTAAACGTAAGAAGATAACTAATAATTCGTAAAGAAAGAACTAAAAAAAAGAGATAAGAAAATATGAATAGAAAAGAAAAAAATGAAGGAAATAAATAAAGAATGTAAGAAAAGGGGGGTGGGGGGTAATATAAATTAGGATTGTATTAAATAAAATACAAGGAAAGAAAAGTATTGATTTTATACAAATATATTGGCAAACTACAGGGCTTATCTAAATTAAGTGTATGCTCTAATCCATCATTTTTGTACAATTATGTTTCTTCAAAACTATCCCAAGAATATCTAAGTGAGAGGCGTATAAATTATCCAACACTCCTCGATTCTCTTTGACTACATCTATCCATCTGATGTCTATCGCGTCGTCGCCGCTTTGCAAAGGATAGTTCTTTAGAATGGCGAATTTTTTCGGATCCGGACATTTTTCGCCTTTTATATAAAATATATAATACACAAAAAAAAAGTAGTTAGAAATGACAGAAATTCAATGACATATAATTATACCGAGACTGACGATGAATCCATTAAAAGTGTACATCGATGAAAGACAGCTGGTGAAGCCATTTTGATTAACCCATATCATAGTTTAAAAATTTTAAAACGAGAGGCCAATTTATTCCCTATGTCTGACGCAAACTTTATTAAAGAATTGCCTGATCATCGAGGTGATAAGGAAGCAAAGTTATCAATTTAAATTTAATAGTTAGTTTTTAACACGAGAATAATTACCATATGGGTTACCAAAATGGCGGATCCAGCTGATTTGCATTCAACGACCCTATCAAAAGCATTATCATGTATGCATCGTCAGTTTAGGTGTTATTATATGTCATTGATTTAATTATGAGAAAACTATTCGGCGAAGAGAGGAAATAGGGAAGAATTCGATAAAATCCTATTTTATATGCAGCGAATGTCAGCTCAACCAGAACCGGTTCAGACCGATTTGGGATTTCCCCCCTTCCTCCAACCCCCAGAAAATTTGTCCTCTAATCTAGTTACTTTATCTTCTAAAAAAGAGGCTTTCAATTTTGTTTTAAAAACTGCTCTATTATAATCATTGAATTACATTTATTGCTTAATATACATATTGTACTTACCCAATTTAAAAAAAAAAAATCGGTATGCGGAAGGATTTGAACCAGCTGATCGGCATTGACCTTCGCTAATTTATATGCATAACTAATAGCGTTTTGTTTCGCTCAGGTTATTTTTGAGTTAATTGGTATCCGGCCGGTTCAATCAGGTTTTCGTAAATTTAGGATTTTTTTTTTAAATTGACTCAATAATCTTTCAAAAAATAAAATCGAAAATATAAAAGTTAAATTCTTTATTTTATATCACGAATACGAAAATATAAAATCAGTTTGAAAAGTGATTTACGGTTCGGTCCTACCCCTTTCGGGTTCGGTTTTGTTCGGCATCCCCGCTAAAAATATTTAAAAAATAAAAATAAAAACCAGGCCCGCCACCCAAATGAATGTTGGTAGCTACGGTTTCTATCCAAGCGTTATCGGTATTCCTGGGATCGTCCACATACCCCTGATACACGACTGAACCATATTCGGCAAAAAGTTGTTCCAAAGTCGTTAGCAAAATTTTCTTTCTATCATCGTTTTCTTAAAAAAAATAAAGAAAAGGAATGTTAGCATCTTGTCTGGAAAACGAGCAATACAAATACTATATTTTAATATCTGGTTCTACTTCTGAAAGTCTACTAAAAATGATTTATTTCTCCTCATATATTCTGCAAAAAAAAACAGTTGTTTTTGATGACATGAAGTGCTTGGGGTTGACAGCTTCCCCCCCCCCCTAATCAGCTGGAGACTGCAGAAATTCCCCCCCCCCCCTAAAGTGGCACAGACCACTCTCCCGCGATTTTTTAAATTTTTTTTAGAGTTCTTTTTTAATTGGTAAATAATAACATTTAAAAACAAGTATATGTTTAACGCGAGTATATTATATCTTTAAAGTGTTTTGAAATCATTGTTAAGAAATGTTTTAGTGAATTTCAGTTCGTTCATTCTACTAAAAAGAATGATTGAATCGAAAGATTAAAGTCGAGTGGTATGATCTGGAATGGTGCCGAAGTGCTACGTCATGTCCCTGTTAGAGTGGTTAACATAACACTAATACCAGCGATTGATAAATTTCAACTTCCAAGAAAATTTTTTTAAAAATAAACATATAAAAATGGAATGAGGAGGTAATGGCATGATTGTGTTTAAAATTGGCGGAAAAATTTGATAAATATGATCATTTTCACAGTCATTTTTTTTTTTTTTTTTACTTTTAAACTATCGTACAAATTAACTTGATACGAAATGCCAAAAATATTCGAAAGATATTCGCAAATTTTTAGATAAAAATTCTTCGATATAACTTCAGCATTTAATTATTCGACCAAAACCTATTGGTGAAGAAAAATGAGTGAGATGCAGAAAAAGGGGGAGTTCCAAATCGCAGATATGGTTCAAACAACAATCATATGTTGCAACGAAAGCTTTCAATCCTAGGTTATCAGAGCAATGCGAGTGACTGGAACTTCCTAAATGAACTGATTTAGCTAGAATAGTTCTATTGCATACCTGCAACAAGTACCCCTTGGCTAAATAATCTTTTCCATCAGCGGATTAATTCATATCGGCTAGAAGAAGATCGGTATGTCTCTAACAATCTTAATAAAAAAATCGTAATTATTAATTGACAATTATCATTTAACTACATTTTATTTTAAATTTGTTAATATTTATTACCTGTTGTGGATGTTGAGTTTGCATTGTAAAATTAATATGATACTTTTATAGATGGTGTTTTATATTATAAAATATGTTTTGGTATTATAATAAAGTCTCATTTACAATAAACGCGTTCTGTTCAAAGCGGTGCGTTATTTACAAAACCAAGCCATTTAAATAAGTAATTATTTAATAAATATGAAGCGTTAGGTTAAACGCTATGATAAAATTTGAAAAACATGTTTGCGATGTTCAAAAAAAATAAATTATAAACGGTCTGAAGAATCAGCTGTGATTTCGATAGCGTTAAATAACGCAACGCTTGAACATAATGCGTTTACTATAAATGAAGACATAAAAATATCTTTTTTTAAATATTTATTTTAAAAAAAATAATTCACTTGTAAGTGTATGAATATGGCAAAATACACAAAATTTACTATTATTCTGTCTGGGGTATTTAGAAAGGGTGGTATAGTCCCTAAATGACCCTTCCACTTAGTTATAATGTATGACCCTAGAAAAGTCCTATTAAAAAAATGTTTGCATAATTGCTGATAAATTTAAAAATAATTATTTGCATAGTAAAAAGTACGAAATATAATTAAATAAGATGTTATTCGAAAAAAATCCTAGAAACATATGCAAAATTTTAGGGGCCAGACAAAAAAAACCCTTTAATAAATCTTCATGGGCTGGTCTGAACCAAGTTGTAAAGCAAACAAAAATAACTTGAATAGTGATAAGATAATAGATTCAGGGATTCCTCTGCAAATTCTCTAGGAGATGTGTCTTTAACTGGATCCTCATTGTTATCAACCATACCACCTGGAAAGGCCCATTGATTATTATCTTTTCTTTTAATAGCTAAGAACTGAAGTATTAAATTATTTACATTGTGATAGGTCATGTCTTTAAGTTTTTCAAATATATTGTATAGATTAAGAGAATGATCATTTTCCACTGATGATTGCATATGCCATTTAGTTAATATTAAATCAATAGCATGATTCGGACCCCATTTACCTAAATTTAAAAACGTATAAAGGATAGTAAAATAAGCTGACAAACCTAAATTTCCTCTACCAATAATACCAGTTCTACCAATAGGATTTATTGGCAGCCCATTAATTATCCTGTAATTTTTCATATGACTGATTCGATTAACTTTATCTCCTTTGGCATTCCAAATTATATCTTTTTCCATGGTAGCATAATTATACTCTGAACCTTTATTCAAATATTTATTGACATCATCACTATGGTTTTCGTCTAGTGGAGGATCTGCATAAACTGGTTGACTATTAATGTGCTTTGAAGTATATTTAAATGGTGTATATTGGGGCCAAATTGAATTCCATGATACCTAGTAAACATAAAAAGAGAAAGCAAAATATCTTTACTTTATCATCGGGCACAAAAAATCTTTTAATCTTTGCTTTTGGGTATATATTATTTCGGCATTTAATATTTAACATCAATTTTACATTTATTGTGAATTTTTTTAAAAGTTGAATATCATATGTTTATAAATGAATGTTTGAAGTAATTTGTAAGTTTGGGGTTATTGAAAATCATTTTTACTATTATTAGCGACTTGTTAGAAGACAATCAAATATTATTAGAATATCATTGTGACGTAACTTTTTGGTCTAAGTTTTTGCTTTATATTATTTTGTTCTTAGCTCCGTTGTCATATTTGGGAAATTTTAGGAGTTTAGTTGATTCAGATCGATAAAAGGGCCCGAAGATTACAAACAAAATATTCTTGTGTAAGCCTAAGGATCATTCTCATAACGGCTAAAAGGCTAGCACACCTAGTTGCCAAATCTTGATGCTTACCTCATATATTCGATTGACAATGGACCAGGAACAATTAAAATTGTTAGCTCTTCTGAACATAGAAATAAATTCTATTTAATACCCCCGTCGATTATCGATTAAATTATAAATGATTAAGCAACAATGACTAACAGGCTTAGATAACTTACTTTATCAAATAATTTAATTTTATAATCTATATATATTAACGAAATTTAAGGCGTTAATATCTGCTAGTGAATAAAGCGGTTTTTTTAATAATTTTTTTTACCATTATCCAAAATTAGCTAAGAGACATGATACTTATTAAAATTTTCTCTTTGTGAATGAAAAAAATCAGAAACAAAAAGTAAATGCTTTCTTTTGATATGATCGAATATATTTTTGCAAAATAATTAGAAATATTTGAATACATTGTCAATAATGTGTAAAATCATAATTATTATAATTATCTCATTCTGGTCCTTATTTTCTAGTTACTAAACGATTCATTTATAGTATGGAATTCTTACCGTATAAATAACTCAAGGCTTAATTATTTCTTCTAAATATATATAATGTTTTTGTTTTATCAGTTTACAAAGTGTCGACCATGGCTATGACTGCAAATTAATTAGCACCTAATATTTGAGCAGCGATGTAATTTTAGATTATTACTCCTGCAGTAGCGACCTTTTATTGCATAAATTAGATGTGCAATAATGGTCAACTGTCTAGTCGTTTATATATCGTTAAAAATGGAGGATAATCTTTAAGAAATTTAATATCTCACAATAATTTTCTCGATTATTTATGTAGTTTCCATCTTGTCATGGAAGCTCTAACCACAATCAATGACATATAATAATACCTAGACTGACAATTCATTCATAATGTATCAATTGAAATTAGCTGGAGACGCCATTAACACTATGTTGAATACATCGATGATATGTCTTACAACCCATTCTTACTCTAAATAATACTATGGCTATATTTATAATAATTATTTTACCTTTAGCTAGTTCCTAATATCATGAGTCCATTATTTATTTTTATTTTATTTTTAATTAGCTACTGATACAATTTTATTAATCAAACATTATATTTTATCAAAAGCATTTATTTAATATAGTCATCTCTTATAAAATAAGTTTAAGCTCTTTGCTTGTAATATGCAGGTTAGCAATATCAGCAATTTTTATTCAAGTTTATTAGCAATCTTATTTACTTTATGCAGTATATATCTAAACTGAAGATTCCATATAAGAATATCTATTATAGTAATATTCATACTGTATAAATCTTCAGTTTAGAGATATATGATTGCATAAAGTAAATAAGATACCTAATAAACTTGAATAAAAATTGCTGATATTGTAACCTGCATATTACAAGCAAAGAGCTTAAACTTATTTTATAAGATATGACTATATTATAATAATTAATGTATATATTTAAATTAAGAAAATAAAAATAAATGCTTTTGATAAAATATAATGTTTGATTAATAAAATTGTGTCAGTAGCAAATAATATAAAATAAATAATGGACTCATGATATTAAGAACTAGCTAAGGGTAAAATAATTATTATAAATATAACCATAGCATTATTTATATTAAGAATTGGTTGTAAGACAAATTATCATCGAGGTTGTAAGACAAATTATCATTGATGTACTCAACATGGTGTTTAACGAAGATCCATATTTATTCATAATTATATTTATCAGAAGATTTCATATTTATAAAAATAATTGAATCTTCTCCATTCTTTGTTCTTCCCAGCTGACATCTTCTCCAATTAATCCAATATCTTCACTCCCAAATAGCAAAACAAAGGACTTTTCTTTAACAATAACCAATGTGATGGTCACGTTTTTCCTCCATCCACCAGGAAAAACTGAAATCCCCTGTCAGAAAATAACTGACATTTGATGTATTAAATTACATTTATTTCATCTTTTTTTCTCCAGCTACAACACGCCCACCCTTCACAAACCCAGCATCCCTCTCTCTGTGGTGGTATTGTATCGAATCATCTCTTTGAATTGTATCGAGACGCCTTGAAGACGTTCAGGGAATTTATCGAATCGTCTTCCCTTATGATGATTTATAATATAATATCTCCGATACATTTCAATATATAATCGCGAAATCACATATTATCAATAATGGCATGTACATCGGGGTATCTGCATTTATAATCTATGGAACCTTAATATGGACAATGTAATATCCGCAAAACATAATAATTCATTTATTTTAAGACATTTGAGAAATAGGATCTATAATATACATCATTTGGGTATGATTAATGGTAATTAGGAAATAATGATTTTACATATAATACTGTAATGTGAACAAATGGTTTATGTGTGAAATGCAATCTCAACACATGTAATTTTCCTTCGGTCATGTGAAAAAAACTACAAAATAGATAGAAAAAATCCATTTTTAGGTATTAAAAATAATTGCGAAAATTTGCCGAACAAAGATTTAACAAAATTACCAGGTATATGTATAAATTTAATATTTTATAAGGAGGAATAATATATAATACGTAGACAATAAAATACTTTTCATCTAGGAATTACTCAGTATCCTAGGAAAAATATACCATTTCTATCTAACCCTGCCATCACAATTAGCACAAATTCACAGAAATGTAGAATGCAAAGTAACAAAAATTGAGTATAATGGGATATATGATATATATGTAGAGAATTTTTAATATACCTTCACAATATAAAATAATTTGAGTCTTTTCTTTAAAAAAAATGTTCATAAAACAAATAGTAGAATGTGATGTGCTATAAAATTATTACAAAGATAAAAAAAATGTAATATGCAGCATAAATTTACAAAAAAAAAACTTTCTCCAGTATGCAAACTAAACAATATTCCCACCTCAAGGCATACCCATCAACATGGCCGACCTTATCTGTAAAAATATTTTGCTTTCACATCATTGCACACCATAAAAATAATATAATAATTGCAAATAAAACTTTTTATAAAATTTTATAATTAAAAAAAAATATATATATTAAATATAAAGATTTCATAATTTGAGGAAAAAAAATATTACACATCATCTAATATATCATATAAATCTCTACCCAATTTATATATATATCAAATGCAGGCACTAAATCAAAATAACTATCCACCTATAACATTATAGATATTATTCTGACTTCATCATACTTCAATTCCTTTAAATTATCATTCATAATTAAATATATCATATGGGTAATTCACATTACACCCCATTTCATAAATATGATTAATTACTTCAAAATGAACAACATTAACTCACCCTCAATAGATCCCTTAATAACATATCAACCTTAATTGAAACTAAATTACACATACAATACATTAACATTAATTAATAATAAATTATCCCACACATGGCTATCCCTTTAAAAAAAACCAAAATGCATAATTATATAACACATACTTTATTACAAAAGTCCATTTCCATATATATTTATCATTCACCAAATACTTTATCCATTTAATTCCAATTAAACCACCAATATATCACATATTATGTAACCTACTCACCCTTAACCCTTATTTCAAATGTAGTTCAATTTATGAAACCACCTTGATATTACTAATATATAAACCTTTAATTCAAATGTAGTTCAATTTATGAAACCTTACTGACATATAAACCTTTTTTTCAAATGTAGTTCAATTTATGTAAATACCTTACTAACATATAAACCTTTATTTCAAATGTAGTTTAATTTATGAAACCACCTTGCTGACCATATTACTAATATGTAAACCTTTATTTCAAATGTAGTTCAATTTATGAAACTACCTTACTGATATATAAAGCTTTCTATCAAATGTAGTTCAATTTATAAAAATACCTTACTGACATATAAACCTTTCTTTCAAATTTAGTTCAATTTATGAAACTACCTGGCTGACTACATTAATAATATACAAACATTAATAGAAATGAACTAATCATCATAATATTTATTATTCCTTAACCTAGCCTAAAAATATACAGACATAGCTATCATTTTTATAAATTAATTTATATCTTTAACATGAAATATTTACTGGTCTTACCTTTCTTATCCTTTACAATGCATGGTGTTCCGCACTAATCCCCAAGTAAATCCTGGTCACAGCACCAATACCGAAGATCCATATTTATTCATAATTATATTTATCAGAAGATTTCATATTTATAAAAATAATTGACCTCCATTCTTTGTTCTTCCAAGCTGACATTTTCTCCAATTAATCCAATATCTTCACTTCCAAATAGCAAAACAAAGGACTTTTCTTTAACAATAACCTATGTGATGGTCACGTTTTCCCTCCATTCACCAGAAAAAACTGAAATCCCCTGTCAGAAAATAACTGACATTTGATGTATTAAATTACATTTATTTCTTCTTTTTTTCAACAGCTACAACAAATGGCGACTCCAGCTGATTTCAATTGATACATGCTTAAAAATGCATTTTAATGAATGAATTGTCAGTCTAGGTATTATTATATGTCATTGACCACAATATAGTTTTATTTTGGATTAGTCATTTATATTCACTTCTTCAAGAGTTATTGATTAGTTAGGACTACAATATTTTTCTTATCCATTTTAACATTGTCTAAAATGGTAACAGAACGTTATATTAGTTTCATGACCTTTTGTCAATGTAGGTTGCTAAGAAATATATTGACTTGTGTGGTTTTCAAAGAGCATTATCAGCAGTGTATGAATTATTTAACCTTTTTTATCACTTGTAATTCTTTAGACATAATTTTTTATATATTAAATCTAAAATATTTAATACTGTAATTAATAGATAAATATTTTGTATTATTTTTATATCTTTGCGCAATTATTTATATCTCTTCACCATTTTTTGCCTCCAATTTTTAAAATTTTTATATCATTTAATATATAAAGGAAATCAAATTTTAGGAGTATTTTGTTAATTATGAATTATAAATGCTAGTTTCTTATTTAAGCAAATTATCATTGAATCTATGGATATTTTTTGCCTCATTTATTAGAAAACAATAAAAAATTTAAGATTATTTATACTATATTAATGGATACAAAGTCAAATTATATTTTAAATTATATAATATTTTAAAAATTTAACCATGATTTTCCGACATGCATTATCAATATTTTGATTTTAAATTGACATATGATGTTTTGAATGACTGATATGTATATTTTATTTAAGTTTATATTTGAATATATGTTTACTTTTAAAATAAAAGCTTTTTTTCTCGCAATATAGGTTATGAACCCATAAAAGGTAATCCCTTTAAAAACTTGACATTACAATAATAATATGTTTTTTATTTTTATTTAATAAATTCCTATTTTATTATAGTTGGTGTTAAAATTGGCAGAATTAAGTCTATATATTCCAACATGATAAAATTCAATATATTATTATCGATATTCATATGCGTTAATGCGCAGCAAGATATAGTAACACCAAAGGTAAATTTACTCTTTATATTAATCAAATTTATAAATTTTATTATTAATCACATTATTAATTTTTTTATATTATTATTAATTCAAAGCAGAAGAAGATGGTTTAAATTAGGCTTTTATTACTTGGCTGTAAAAAATACCTGCTTCAATTAGTTAACATAATTAAAATAAATGAGTTGTTAAATGTTTTTAAATCTATTTTTGCTACTTAAGGTTCCAGCTTCAAAAGTTTTTACTGCTTCCAAAAGTTCTAGAACTTTTATGTAACTTAATGACAAATTGTGAAAATTTCATATATATGCTTAAAATGATATTTTATTATTCAACCTTGTATCACTTATTTCCTGTTTTTAAGGTTTAAAAATTCTTTAAATAAAATTTTTTTAAATGTTTTGAGCACAGCTGAAAATAGCAAAGATAAATATCTTGCTAACCTATTCAGAAATTTGTAAATACCATTATAAAATATAAAAAAAATGTTTATATTACATCAGATCACTTTTTTTGAGGAGACTGGTTAGTCTTTTAAAGACGTATCGAACTGATTCAATATTGTAATATTGTAACAGTGTTAATAAAAATATCAAAATTTACAAAAAATTTAAAATGAGATCAATGAAAAGATTTGATCCTTAATATTTTAATTTTGTAGGAATGAATCTTAGATGTCATTTTATTATTTAATAATATAAATATAATATTTTTTTTAGCTAATACCAAAAATAATAAATTAATTTAAGTTATATTTAATCTCCTCTTAATATATTTTCATCAATGAAGGATATATAATTATAAAAGTTAGGGCCATAGTGATTGATATTGTAATCATCTGGTTATAAATGAGATTGTTATCAGATTAATAGTTAATTTTTTATGCGTAACCATCTTGGAATTCGATACAACATTATAGCAAAAAGTAAACTATTACATTAGGAGAAATTAAAATAATCTGACCAAAAATTTGTTTACTGAAATCAGCAAAAAATTAATTTGCTGATACCAACCCCATTAAATATTTTTTGGCCAATTGCAGAATATTGCACATTTAAAATGTTTTTATAATATTGGAATGTCCTAAGCGACCAAATTGAAGCATTTATTTTAAGAGTCCAATTTGCATGGACTGGTATTACTAAAATTGTTAAAAAGATTAACTCCTACTGTAGCCCTTAGAAAAAATTTTTTTGTTCATGCCTGGGCTTAGTATTGTAATGAAATGTAATATTATATAATATATACAATGATAAATAATTTATATTTGATAATTTATTCTAAATAAATGCCAACCACCTTGTTCATCGAAAATGCCTGATATTTGAATCATAAGATCCGAATGTCCAAAAACCCATTTCCTTTTTTTTATGTAAAGATCCCCTGGTTTGGAAAAAATATTTGTCAACAGGAGGTATAGATCTTTGATGCTTATGACTTAAAGTAATGTTATCTTGATAATCTTCTAAGTTTCATATATAAAATGAATGAATGGAAACTCTTCTAGAAAATGACAAATATGCTCAACGTTAATGCACTACTACTAAAAGACTAGTTTAGGACTAGAAACCCTATTACACTAAATTGTGAAGCCATTTTTTTAAACGATAAAAGTGTCAAAATAAATTATAACCACTGAAGGAAAATAAAAAAATTTTTTAAATTATATTTGACAGAAGAAATAATAGAATAATATAACATTTTTCCCCTGAGTTCTGATTTCGGCTAAATTTTTTTAAAATTGAATACAACCCGACAGAGTCAAAGAAAATATGGAAGAGAGCTCTACTTATTACGAATCTTATTATAACGAAATCCCTAAACTCTTATTTCCTTCTATTTATATATCTCCACTAGGCATTCATGTAATATTTAAAATAATGTTATTATATATAGTAACCAGATATTTTTATAAGGCTATAGCTTTCTTTTCCTCTAGTCGCCTCTTTCCTTATTTTTTTTTAGAAAGTCCTACCACCACGCCTCAGATAATAATTTTAATGAAACCCATGCACCCTTTTGGTTCCGCGCGTTATACGGGATACGCATAATTTTTTTTAAAAAAGTTGAAGAAATAAAAAAATTGAGCCTTCATATAAATCGGTTGGTATAAAAATAAAATAATATTTTAATACAAAAAAAAATAAAATGAAAAAAATCGAATAATTATTATTTTTTTTAAACAAAAAATATCAAAAGGAGAAAAATAATAAAAATATTAATCCTTGAAAAATATTTAAAAAGAATTTATTTATATTTTATATATTTTTTAAAAATAAACGAAAAATCATCTTTTTAATAAAATATTAGGAATTTATTTTTATAAAAATGATAAATTTTCCTTTCTTTCTTTCTTTCTTTCTTTCTTTCTTTCTTTCTTTCTTTCTTTCTTTCTTTCTTTCTTTCTTTCTTTCTTTCTTTCTTTCTTTCTTTCTTTCTTTCTTTCTTTCTTATATATTTTTGATGGGGAAAAAAAATTTCCCATGATTTACTATTGTTTTGCGTGCCGCATCATTGTCATACAATGTAAAAAAAAAGTGTACAAATATATAACTAGTAATGTGATTAATTAATAAAATAATTTTGATTTATTCAATTTTTTTTAAAAAAATATTAAAAAAAAAATAACATTGATTTTATGTGGTGTTGTAATGTGTAATATTTAGGGAATGAAAAAAAAATAATACGTTTTTTGTATATAAAAATTTTATTTTACTATTAACAACAGTTTATATGGAGAAAAATACAATATAGCAAAATTTTCGGTGTCATAATTCCCTATCCAAATAATAAGAGATCCTTAAAGCTCGGCTTGGACCGCCTGAATGTCCGAAACTAATTTTAGAAAGAAATTATAACTGGCCAGATTGGACAATTTACACCTATAAAATCGGGCATAACTGGCCATGTCGGACAATTTGCACATATAAAATCGGGCATGACTGGCCAGGTCGGACAATAAAATTTTATAATGGGAATTAAAATTTTGATATATATATTTTTTTTTTGAATTCCAAAGTTAATGTTTTGACTAATAATACTTATTTGAAAATAAATTACAAATATTCTTATCTCTTTTTTATTCTAAGAAGAGCTACCTAGCCAAAATCTTAAATCTTATTAAATATTTAACATATAATAAATAAGAATTTAAGTTATTTATGATATGAATACAATTTACAAATATTTCATAAATGATTAATAAAAGCGGTGTTGTAGAGAATAGATAGCTATAGAGGAGATGATATGAGCGCTTTAATTGACATTGTAATTAGATTACAGATATCAAACATAATTGATTAATAAAGGCTGTGTTGTAGATATAGCCGTAGAGGAGAAGATAAGAGCGCTGTAATTGACAATGTAATTAGATTACAGAATATCAAACATAATTGATTATTAAAGGGTGTGTTGTAGAGAATAGATAGCCGTACAGGAGAAGATATGAGCGCTTTAATTGACATTGGAATTAGAGATAGGTATTAAAAATGTAAATGCCCAAAAAATTCGTACAAAGAAAATAACGGGCCTAACCGGGTAATGTGGGCGAAAATTTTTAACGGACCATGGCGGGCTTTTTAAATTTCCGTTAAATATGATCCACAGATGTTTTATCAAATTTACTCATAATTACCGTGAATTATTTTTTTTTTAGCCTTTTTCTTGTTTTTTTCACCGTTTTTTAAAATATATATAGCGTCCCTTAATATATATATATTGGACCTTTGGCTAGGGTTATCGGCAGGAGCGAACTGTGGCGATGCGGCCGCGTTGGCGAATTTTTTCTAGCTCTCTCATTTCTATCGCGTTTACCTGACCGTCTTTTTTTTTAAAAAAAAATTTTTCTTGTATTTTTGGATTTAAAAAATGTCCAAAATCGTGGGTTAAATCACTATATTCCGATGATTATATTTTTTAACAACAAAAAAAGAGACTAGTGTGACACGATAATCACATTTTTTATTCCCTCCAAGAATTTCATATCTAAAAATCATGCTTCTTTGCACAATATTTAAAATATTACTTATCGCAATTGCGTGTTAAAAATCATATATATTCCTCATATATAAATTCATATAAATTGCGCATACAAAATTATTAACATAATGCGCATATGTTACGATCGATTTGTCTTTAATCAGCCAATAACACAATACTCAATGCTCGTATTTTGCCTGAGTCGATATTTCATAATATTTTATTTGATTGTCTGAAATTTGTAAGGTGTTTTGTATTCCACACACGTGCCAGAATGCATTTCCGGCAAAAAAATTTGATCATTATAATATATTTAAATCTCTAAATATATTTAAAAATAGAATTTTACCAAAAAAAAATGTATGGCAACATCTTAGAAAACCAGATCTCTATAAATTTCAGAAATAGAGTTTGATCACAGACCTTTTTAGCCATTTCCGGTTTAAATAGCCGACATTACGGGAATAGAATTGAATGCAACACACACATATATATACATATACATATTGCACTATATAAAATCTGAATCATACATAATACATCATATTGCGGCGCCCATTGCAAGCATAGCTTCATATACAAATAGAATTTAAAATAAATTAATTCTACGAATAATTTTTATAATTTTTCAGTCCAATAAATCTAGCTTATACTTTTGAACACTTTGGTGATAGACGATAATTTTTTTTTAATTTTTAGTGGAATTTGCTTCAACAATTCTCTTTCAGACTCCTATTTATCTCTTGTCTCTTACTTTCCCTCCCAGCCCATTCTTTATAATTTTTTTTTACTAAACTTCTTTCAACGATTCCCTTTGCGTAAACGGTATATTTACGGGCTCTGAAGAGATTAGCATAATGATACAGTTGAGTGCATATTATAGCTCCCAGAATCTAATAGATACATAATTAAGCATAGATTACACTTGTTATTGCATTAGACTCTTCACTAACACAAATTGCATCGTCAATTTTGTCATTTAACCTAGACTAATTAAATATATATACCTAGGGGAGGGGGGGGGAATGAAAACGATTCATGTCGTAGTTTGTAATTCGATGCTGAATTACATTTTGCTAATTGTAAAAAGTTCTTATGGGCCTTTTCGTAAATACCTTTCGATATTCATTTCATTAAAAACACTTGGGAGGAAAATATTGCACATATGGCTATAAGCTTCCTTTTTTTTTCTTCACCGTAAACGGGTTAGGTCAAACTATTTATAATTTCATTAATTATAGTCCGAAATTCTTCAGCCCTACAGAGGTTAATCGGAACCTACGGAGGGGGGGCGTTCATCTTTGCGTTCGTCGCTGTGCAGTCTCTCTTTGTTCGACTTATTTTATTTTTGGCGTTCCGATGTAGTCCCCAGATGTTATCTGAGTTTAGAGCCATTTTTATAGATTTATTTTGGATGGACGTGAAGGTTTTAAAAAAAAATGTAGAGGGCTTGACATTAGAGATCTGCAAAGGACCGAGTCGGGTACGGGTCGGGCCTAAAAAATTGGGTTTGGTCTGGGTCGGGTCTAATATTTTTTAAAAAAATTCGGGCCGTTCAGGGCCCTAAAATTTTTTTTAAAAGATATCTGAAATTTATCGATTTTAAATGTCGAATTTTTTTATGTTAAAATAAAAATATGCGATTTTATTTCTTTATAGAAACTAGATGCCATATGACATACATCTTTTATTTTGAGAAATTTAAAATTTTGAAAGAATTAATTTCTATAATGTAAATTTAAAAAAAAAAATTCGGGTTCAGGCCGGGCTTGAAAAATTAGGCCCTATACAGATCACTACTTGACATCTAGCAATCGCATCGAAGTTGTTAAGAATAAGGGTTTTTAGAAATCCTGCCGGTGTTCCAACATCGGAACATTTTTCCGGGAATTTTGGATGGAAATTTGGAATTTCCTGGAATCCCCAAATTTCCCGGAGACGTTTCCGACTTTTAGCATTCCTTTAAAAAATGACTAGAATAATTCAAAATTAAAAACAATAAAAAAATATACGTGAATTTACTAAATATTCATAAATAAATGTTATAATTAAATTCAACCTCTTAATGCTCATAGTCGTTACAATTGAACTTTTAAATTTGTTTCCCGAAATTTTTATTAAAATACATTAAATATTCCTTCTTTTCCTGTTATAACCGGTTTTATTATATTTTTAGCGGTTAATGTTATTATTCTGCCTAAAAAATATATGTTCTCTTTCACATTTTACATTATTTTTGTTCTTTTGATGTATAGTCTAATTAGATAGCAAGCTCAACTCCCTTAGCTTGTCTATAAAAACCAACTGGAATGTACAGGACCTAACTTATAAAAGGTTTGTTTTCTATAGAGCTGAAATTTTATAAATGTGGTCATAATATTTTTAGATATCAAAGAATAAAACTAAAATTTTGTCCGAAAATTCTACCGGTAACAGACAGATATGATGACAGTAGAGGTCATCAAATCCTATTCTTGACACGCATATTTCTTGTTCTGGTTTTTTTTTAAAAAAAAGACAGTTTTTTTTCCCGTTTTTTTATATATTTTAATTGAGTTTTTAAATTGTTATTAATTTTCATAATATCCTTATTATTTTTTTTTTAAAAAGATTTACACATAATAATAATAGAATAAAATACAATCATTAAAATTAAGATGTCACGTCACTACTGAATATTTATAATTGTAGAGCCGTTTAGAGAAGAGAATGAAATAAGTTTCAAGATTAATTTTTTTTTTTTATAAATTCCATTTGTCGAACCATGCATGGGCCGGGGCTTAAAGATTTTTTTAACCGCCCAGCTAAGGGCGTCTCGGTCCGGAAAGAATATGTTCTTCGGGATTGATTATCTTAACACTACCTCATCTTTATCTATCTCCTAAAAATTAAATACCTTTATTTTCTGCCTCCCTCCGCATAATCATAAATTTCCGTTTCCGTTACTCACCACAATCTATCCGCCCTAATACCAAAAAAGATGGCACACAAACACGGGTAAAAAATATTTTTTTTTTACGAGCCCGGCCCGAGGCCAATTTATGAAAGTTCGAGTTACTAAAGTTTGAGGGTTCGGTGAACCGAACAATCTTCTATACCCAACCTAGCTACTAATCTTTTAAAAACGAAAATTATTTATCAATTTTTCCTTTTCTCTAATTTTTTTTTTCGTTGTTGCTCACTTTAATCTTTCCACATCGTAAAATCGGAAATGACAGAATAAATAAAATAAAATAATTATCATTGATTGCCTTATCTTTACCTTTTGTTTATTTGTGCGACGAATTGTGTGACAATGACTTAAAAAAATAATAATAAAATTGTGCGTCGGAAAAGGAAGACATTGCAATTCCATGCTCCGCTTCCACTCCCCACCCCCCTCCCTTTTTATCTTTGTTATTAAAAATATTTTATTTAAAGTCACATTATTTTATCGCGATTTATTGACAGAATTTTATATTTTATCGATTTTGATAAATAAACATTTATTGATTTTTCAAAAGTTATCGATATTTATAAATATATTTTTTTTTAAAAAAAAACTAAATTAACGAGGTAAATAATGATCGGGGTTGATTGATCTTCAGGAATAGAAAGGACCCGGGCACAATTTTGTGCATGTAAATTAGTTGAACCGTTTCCGGTTTACAGAAATTTTAGGAGTCGATGTTCTTGTTTCAGTTTGATTTGGTTTTGATTTCGGAGAAGTTCTTCTTCTTAACTCCGTAGTGAGTTGTGCTCACCGATTCTCGCGATATTTAAAGTAAGTGGAATATCATCTGTTTTCTAAGTCAAATCGCAATATAGCCGACTGGAAAAAAAATCCAATTTTGGAGCGGTTTAAAGTTGTCCTTTCAGGTTGACCTTCAATCTCTACAAAATGAAGATTTTATCAAATTATTGCCTATTTCCGCGGCGCAGGTTATTTCACGTTATCCCGCCTGATTTTATTTCTACACGGCATTTTTTTTTTTTTTAATTAAATCTAGAATTCAGAGTAGTTGATTTCAGTGCTTGGAGTGTCCTCTAGACTCAAGAAAGAGGTTTCTGTTCTGAATATATTCTTCTAAAAGCGATTCAGTTTCCTGTTTTCAAAAAAATTGTTCCGATTCTTAAACCTAAATTTGATCGGATTACGTTCCATAGATTTAGCCTGGATTCATTTTCCAAAGAAGTCTAGTTCTCGAAATAATGAAATTATGTTTGATTCTCACACTTTCGATCCACATGGGAAAACGCTTTTTATGCGCATAATTTAACAAAAAAAATAAAGGCGATAATTAATTAACCCAGCGGCTTTAAAAAAAATTTCTTCCTCGTTTTTTTATATATAATTTTTTATTCGAAAAAATTTGATTGATGGGTGACCTTTCGTCTCATTTTCTTAATTTCTTTAAAGTGCTATATCTTATTTATTATTAATAAGGAAATTCAACAAGGAAACATTAAAAATGCCCCAATTATAACAACTTTATATATATATAAAATTATTTTAAAATAGAATAATTAATTATTGCGCATGCCCGGGGTGCTCCAAATAATGTCTACGATTCCGCCAACGGCAAAAATCCGGGCCGGACCTAAAATAACCGCGATAAATTTTGTATAGATAATTTTTATTTTATAGATAACTAAATTAACTAATATCGTAATCCCAAAAATTAAATTAATTAAGTATCGATGACACTGGTAGCGATTGTATCGGGATACTTCTCGATATCTGTGTCGTCAAAAGGTGCTATGCACCCGAGTATATGTACGCGATTCTTTTATTTAGAACATCCTTTTAAAGACCGATATATGATTTTGTCAATACCTAGGCATGAAAAAAAACGTTTTTTTTATGCATTATGCAGGGAAAAAAACATTTGTGTTTTTTATTTTTACCAACAATCCTTAATGAAAATATAATCAACTAATCAAATTCTTCGACAATACAATGATCTTTTAAATATATTCAACCAATAATTTTGTTGTAAGCCTCATCTATGAGCCTAATCTTCAAGCTCGAGTAATAATTTTTTTGGATAAAATATTGGGTTAGCCGTTTTTCCGAAGGCTCAAATGAAACGATTTTGTAATTACTAATCACTTAATCATTTTTATGCAACCTTCATTTTTTTAAAAAAATTTTTTAGTTTATTTTTAAAAAAATTAACATTTTTATATTGAGTTTTCTATCTAAAATTTCGTTTAAAATGATTTTTAAGTCTTTTTTTTTGTTCGTTTGCCTTTTCAGTTTTTTTTAAACATTTTTAACATTATTAAAATACAGTTTTTTTTTAAAAAAAAAATTCCTACCGATGATACCTATCCAAAATGTTTATAATTGATAACATAAAAATTACGGGGAATACATTTTTTTTTGTTATAAAATTCTTTCTTCCGTCATTTTAAAACATTTTTTAGCCACCCGATCTTTCACATTTGGTACCCCCTATCAAAGTTTACCCCGAATGTGGTACTAGCAAGTCTTGCTTCCGGTCCCCGGCCGGATGCCTTAGCGAGGACGAATGCGACCGGATTCTAACTTACAAGCCCTCCAACAGTTACCACCACAACGAAGTCGATTTCGAACTGATGAGCAAAGTAGATTCGAATAACGCCTGGGCCGGAACCGCCTTCTCCAAGACGAACACTCTGGTAATATTTGCGTGTAGCACTTGATTGATTGATTGAGAGGTTTTTTTTTATAGGCGTCATTCATAGCGCTTGTTTAAAACGCCAGAATCCAGAATCGTAATTCTAGCGTCCAATAACCATTAAGAAATTTAGACCTTAGAATTTAATAATATTTATTTTTACACGTGATGGATTTTAACGATATCGATTGTAAAAATTTAACACGTCAAATTTCGTGTCTAAATTGTCCAGAAATACACAGAGTAAAATATTTAAATCGATTTAGAAATCGATAAAATGGCGAACCTATGTCACAGAATTCGAACCTAATAATTATTTTATTCATATCGAAACAATAAGCCACAAAAGTCAAAAAAATATTAATATCGTCTGATATAAAAAAATCAAAGACCTACAGAGGGCCGGATTTTTTTCGGCCCGGCCCGGGTTTTATATTTTCGTGCCCGACCCGAATATATTTAAAAAAATTTGAATACCGCCGGACCGGGCTTAGGGCCGGTTTAGGATTATGAAATCAACATCCATTGTAGCTTCAATACCGTATCGATATTATCATTGTAGGTTCAATACTATAGTGATATTTTGGTATTGTAGAATCAATACCTGGTTGATTTTTAAGAGATGTTTTTCAAATAAATTGGTGACCATTAAAATTTAAAATATTTATTCTTTATATATTTTTTCATCGTTTCGAATGTATTGGCGACCATTAAAATTGTAAAATATTTATTCATCGCTTCAAATATATTGGCGGCATCGTAAAATATTTAATTTATTATAACATAATTTTTATCACAGCTTTTAAAAAATATTGGCGGCCATTTTCGATTTGTAAAAAAATTTATTTAAAAAATAGATTTAATAGTTTTTAATATATATTTAAATGATTATTTTCTAATTCTTTTATAGTTTTTTTCAGGGAATGAATTTATTTTATTTTACAATTCCTAAACTATCCTAAATAATTTTTATTTGTTTACTCATCTATAAGTGGTGTTTCAAAGTTTCTATAATTTGATATTACGAGTTTAACTTTAAACACATTAAATCTACCCACCCCTATTGATTGAACGAGAATCTATAAAATTTTGTGTTTGTGCTGAATTAATCTAATAATTGTCGATTCAAAGATTTGTAAATTCATATTTCAGATTTTATTCGTAAAAGTTGAGGATCGATCATAAATTATCAATACGGTATTGATTGATTTTACAATATCGTAGAATCAATACCGTATCAATACTATACCTAATGTTGTTAAACGGCTCGTTTGAGCCGATTTTTAAAAAGGAGCTAACTCAATATTTTCGCCAGAAAAATATCGACTAAGCCTCGAAATTTCGATACTATATGTCTGGACCTTTGCTCCTTCTATGAGCAAAATTTTTCAGGCTTGCATAATATTTTACTGGATAAAAAAAACTGAGTTAGCCGCTTGCAGGCAGGTCTCTCGATAAAAATTTTAATTAATCTCCCACAAAAATGGTAATCAATCTTTCTCGTTTTTTTTATACGTATTATATTTCAAAATTGTATATAATGATATATAATATAAAGACATTACGAGATGACAGACTCATTTTCCTTGTATTTTATTTATTTTTTTTGAAAATTTTATAGACAAACACACAAATCATGAACCATAAAAATATACATTTATATAATTTATCACTTTAATCGATAAATGCTAGATAGAATACGATTTCGGACGAAATCATGGTTTTTCGAGCGCTTAATTAAATCATTCAAGTTTTCTAAAATTTGCTAAAAAACGCCCAAAATTTTCTAAATCCGACACAGACATGACACCTCCTAGAACGAAACTATTAATTTTTTTGCTTTTTTTGCAATTTACAGAGCGATTCCTCCCTAGTCTTATGCGTTTACAATAGCATGACGGGTCAAGTCGAAGTCGCCAACTACTACAATCCACCGGATGCCGAGATAACCGAGAAATTGCCCAATTCCGTTATAAAACACTTTCAATTTCCTTCATCTTATTTTCCTATTATTTTCTTTCCTTTTTACTTACAGTCAGTAGTGGTTCAGTTAAAACTTTTGAATTTTTAAATTAATAAACTTCTTTAAAATCGATATTAATGATAAAATTTTAATGACTGACCGTTCACAAAATATTTTATTATCTATCATCTACCCGTTTATTAAAGAAATTTTTTTATATTTTAGTTGTCTAGAATAAAAAATGTTGTTCCTTTAAGGGAACATCAAGAATTTTATATTGGTTTAAAAGCGGTAAATTTTTTTTTCTTTATAAATAAAATTATAAAAAATACATCTGAATACAATTTATTAATTATCTTTCCAAAATTTTTATCAAAATTATTATAAAAACGAAAAAAAATTTAACAACCAGCTCTCTTAAGCCCTAGAACTGACCGTTCACAAAATTTTATTTTCTATCATCTACCCGTTTATTAAAGAAATTTTTTTATTTTAATTGTCTAGAATAAAAAATGTTGTTCCTTTAAGGGAACATCAAAAATTTTATATTCGTTTAAAAGCGGTAAATTTTTTTTTTCTTTATAAATAAAATTACTTTGTAAAAAAAAATACATCTGAATGCAATTTATTAATTATCTTTCCAAAATTTATCAAAATTATTATAAAAACGAAAAAAAATTTAACAACCAGCTATCTTAAGCCCTAAAAATGGAAACCAAACAGCTGAAGATTATTGCGTTTTTTATATATTTAAAAAAAACGTCATTGCTTGTTTTGTTTACATCCCTAATTAATTAATTAATTTACACCCTTTCTTAACAATATGAGAAATTTTGAATTCGTTTAATGTACATCTTAACTATTTTTTTATTTGGGGGGGGGGGTGGGGGGAAAGGAAGATTGAAATTAAAACTAAATAAAAAATATGAAAAAAATACGGATAAAACGAAAAGAAATATAGTAGAAGAAGAAAAAAATACAAAGAAACACAAAAAAGAATAGGAAATATATTTTTACTAATAAATGTTTATTTAAATTAAAAACAGGAAAAAGACGGCTTACGGAACATGAGCGGAACGCTCTTACCGGACCGTATAAGGTGCCGATTTTCGAAAGGCGTGGAAGGTAGCACGAAAGATAGCAGGGTTTTCCCGTTAGCTGGTAACAAGTACCATTTGGGGATGCTTTGGGGAAAAGCTTTGCACGGTTTAAAATTTTCTTTTCTAAAGAATTAAAGAAAGTAAGGAAAAAATAAAATAAAATGAAGAGAAATTTTTTTTAAAAATCAATAATTATTACCCATTATAATATATCTATATTAGGCACTCCCTTCAGGCACACTAGCGAACCTCTCATGACCGCTGAAGCGCTCCCGCTGACCGTCGAAAGCGCCCACGAATATATTTATCCGAGAGTCCCTATCGTCTACAAACTGCATAGTATATATATATTTATTATACTATGTTTCCGGCGCGGAAAAGATTCTCTATTTTTTTGCACAAATTTTTAACTCCAGGGAGGAAAAAAAAAATCTTTTACAATCACGTGATTTTCCTGTTTATTGGATCCTTAAGATTATAGTTCAAAACGAAAATAATTTTTACTAGTTATCCTATGAATAATGATAACCTGGCATTCTTTGATAAATAAATATAATAAAAATGTATATTAATTTTTAAATTTTTTTTGTTATTTATTACAAAGCTATCCTGTTTTTGATAGCTTGGGTGGGATTCATAAGCTTCGCCATCATCATATCCAGGTACTTTCGGACCATGTGGCCCGGCAAATACTACTTCGGAGAGCCTATTTGGTTTGGGGTAAGATGATACAAAATTGTAATTTTTTTGTTCTACTTGGGGTAATGTTACAAAATCTGTTATTTTTTTTGTTTTACTTGGGGTAAGATGATACAAAATGTGTTATTTTTTTGTTCTTCTTCTACAAAATAGATAGTTTTGCAGTTGATATCGATAATAACCCCTTCAAATATCCTAATGAATCTATAATAGAAAATATTATATTATTTTTTAAAGTTGGTTTTAAAAATATTAGTACGATTTTGAAGCTTTTCATATTTTTTTTTTAAATGTTTTGATTAAGTTTTCGTAATTCTGAATTTCTGTTTCTTTTTTTTTAAAAAAAAATATTTTATTTGTAAAGATTTTAATTTTTATTTTTTTAGTGGCACAGAATATGCTACGTTCTAGCCATATGCTGCCTCATACCAGCGTTCATCTTAGTTTTCATCTATCTACTTAATTGGACCCAGGTGATTTATTTCAAACATTTCTTTCCTTATATTTTTCTATAGATATTTTTAAAAACATTGTACAGGTTAAAAGTTCTGCAAATGGGTGCGGTTTTCAACCCTTCCCCCAAAAAAGCTCGCCTATTCGTTTTTTTTTGAAATTTATTTAACCCGCCCGCTCCGCTCACTTATAATTTTGTATAACACTTCCTCTCCCGCCTAACCTTGAATTCATAGTGCCTCCTTCGCCACTGACGCATCGCGATTTAACAGCTGATTGATTTTTAAAATCTGTTTATGAGATCAATTTTTATTTGTTAATATTAATTTTATCTTTAATTCAAATTTTAATAATAATCTAAGGAATAATGATTTTAATAAAGAATAATTGATCTCATAAACAGATTTTAAAAATCAATCAGCTGTTAAATCGCGATCGCGATCGCGTTACTATGAATTCAAGGTAATGGTTTTATTTTAATGGCTTGATTTGACTCTTTATTTATTTTATTTTTTAAAATGTATTTTTTAAAATTAAACAAATATAATATGCAATAATTTCGAAATAAAACGTATATTTTTTTTAAATAAATTTGAAGAGCGCTCGGCTCATTTCGCCTGAAAAAATATTGAAAATTTATCCGCCCACGCCCGACCATTACTTTAGAAACTTTTTAACCCCGCCACCCACCCATATGAGCGGGCTTGCTAAAAACCAGCTCATTGCAGACCTCCAATATGGGCTACATAATTTTTAAAATTTGCGTTATTACTTTTTTAATCACTTCTTAACTTAGTTACCCCAATTTTAGATAACATATTCGAATAACTTGACATGTTTTTTTTTGAGAGAGCATTTAAACCCTATCTATCTTGCCCCAATCTTTCTTATAATTTTTTTCTTCTTCAATACTTCGTAAGAATCAATTCGATTTTCCACGGGGAACACTCGCCTTGGGCATCATAGCCACCCTACTAGCCATGTGCATAGTAAATATTAATTTTTAAAAAATTTATAGATATCATTTTATATTTTTACATCAAATTTTAAGTAATTTTTTTTTTGAAAAAGAAGAGTAAATTAATTGATAACCAACATAAAGATGGTCCAGTCTTTTTATAGGTCTTTAGAGTCGGGACCTTTATTTTGTCCAGTGGAATTAACGAATCACAGTCAGCGTGCTACAGCTGTCATTCTGTACGCAACATTCCACCGGTTTCAACGGAACAGACCGTTAAAGAGCCTATTTTTGCTAATTGATGAGTATTTTTTTTATAAAATTTAAATCTAAAAATTTGTATTAATTGTAAATTAGATTCCTTTTTTTTGCAATTATTGAGTAATCTTTTTAATTTTTTATCCGGGCCTTGAAATTCAAAGTTGGGGTTCAATTTAAAATTTGATCGAACATTCAGAACACCTGCAAACAGGAGGGTGTTATGTGAAGACCTATCAAACCCGGGGTATTTTCTTACTGGGTAGGATTTGGATCACCTTCAGAAAATCCGTATTCTGCCTACCAAATAACCCATATAAATAGGGTGTAATATTTCTGAATCATAATTTGGGTTCATGGCTATTTGATAATCGTAGAGTTAGCATCAAGTTTAATGCAAAAATTTCGGACAGGGACGATGGCACCGACCAATCATTCATTTATTAAAAAGCGGTTTGGGGCGACGTCCATTTTTATTTCCCTTACTGATAAAATGGCGCCCCCCCTCCTCCCCCCATTGGCTGATTTGTATCGATACGCGTTTAAATAAACAAATCGTCATTTCTAGGTATCATTACATGCCATATGACATTGCTTCAATGGCACTTCGGTATTTTAGTATCCGTCCTCGGTCCCCTACCGGTTCGAGGCTAGGTCCTGACCGGTTATGCGATTTTAGAACTGAGCGACCCGAAAAAGAAAATCACAGCACCAAAATATAGGATTTAAAAATTTCCGTATTGAAAAGTGAAATGCAAATATAACTCGCACACTTTTAACTATTTTTCATTATAATATGAAAACCCGAGTTAATTTTTTTTTTGATATTTAAACATAAATGATTCCACAGGGAAAAAAAAATTCCCAACCCAACTAGATTTTGAATCCAAAACAAATAAAAATAATTATGACTGTATATAGAGATTAATTTGGTCATAACATAGCTATTTTATAATAGGAAACGCTATCAAATATTTTATGAATGGGAAATATATTTTTCAGAATACACTTACTACTTATATAATTACACGAGATTGACTAACTTTTAAATTTATTATTAAATAAAACAAAAGAGAGAGAATAAATATCTATTTAAAAAGTTATATTATATAGTATAATCATTTGCGTAGTCATAAAACAATGCAGAACTATTAAAAAATTAATAATGTACTCACAAAATTCTTTCTTTCTTTCTCTCTTTCTTTCTTTCTTTCTTTCTTTCTTTCTTTCTTTCTTTCTTTCTTTCTTTCTTTCTTTCTTTCTTTCTTTCTTTCTTTCTTTCTTTCTTTCTTTCTTTCTTTCTTTCTTTCTTTCTTTCTTTCTTTCTTTCTTTCTTTCTTTCTTTCTTTCTTTCTTTCTTTCTTTCTTTCTTTCTTTCTTTCTTTCTTTCTATAAAATCCATAAAAATTAGAATAACAAAAAAAATCATCATAATAAAATCAATAGTTAAGAATAACAAAAGTACAACATCAAATTATCAACAACAAATAGTTTTCCCAGTTTTAATAAACTAATATAATAAAGTATTTAATAGCGCATTTAGTTCGCTTAACTTTTGACCATCTAACAAAATGGCTCTTAGCCAAGTTTTCAACCTAAAAAAATTAGTCTCAATCTTCAAGTCGAGACTTAAAACTAGAGGTTTGGGTCAATTTTTTTCGGTTTAGTTTAAAAGCTAGCTAGCTTTACGTGTATTCAATGGACCTACCGGACCGAAAATCTACCGATAATATGGGCCGAGTTTTAGAGACCTATAATTTTAAGACCGCGGAAACTGGACCGGATTGAACTGTGGCCATTTAATCGGTTTCGGTCTATAAATTGACGGGACCGCACCGCTTCGCTATATATATATTAAAAAAAAACTTTTAAGCCCATACTTAGCCTGTTCAGGTGCAACCCGAATAGCAAATCCAGACCTATTTACAACTGGATCGTATGGATCGTGGAAACCATAGCCCTTTTGTTAGCACGTAATAAAAAATTTAGATTTTCCATAATAGGCCAATTTTTTCCTTAGGGGGAATTATAACCATTCGAGTTACCATGATATCCTTACGCCCTGAATACTTGATTATTCGATTATTCTATAACATCTGAAACCTTCTAATAGGTCGGTTTTTTTTAATTTCCTGGAATCCATCTTCTATCCTGAAGGTATTTTTTTTAAAATCTTTTCCTTATCTCGGTCAGAAAGAAATATTTAGGAAATAGTTCTTTTCCTAATTACCACTGGTTTTAACTGGCTCAATCAAATTCTATATTTGCTCCTAAGATACGTTATTTATTCTTAACCTATTTTTGGTGTCCGCCATTTGTCTCGTTCGTCAAAGAAATATGAAAAGTATTGAACAACCGTAAACTTTAAATTTTGAAATAAATATATATATTTCAGAAATCCACTAGTAAAGTAAACAATGTAATTTCTTTTTGTGAGTTTTTTTATTTAATCATATCAAGCCAATGTATAAATAAGAAAAAATTACATTACAATATTTATATATGATGGAATAAAAATAGGTTTTAAAATTTTTAATCCATTACGTAAAAAGGATTTTTTAAAAAAGTTAGGTTAATTCCTTAGGAAGGAGACTTTCAATGAAACTGATGTAATTGGATTTATGAATGAGAATGGTAAGGCAAAAACCTTCCCTTGGTTCTTCAGTGATTTTAAGAATATGAGAATCTAGTTCCTTGAAAAAGGCTAAAAGCACGGTTGCCAAATGTGGCTAATTGTAGAGGTGATATATTTATATTATATCGTAATGTTCCTTTACTTTACTAGTGGATTTCTGAAATATATATATTTTTTTTGGCTATCTAATTGTGGGAACCTATATTTATATCCATTTGAAACACATCAGTTATATGGTTATAAATAATACTTTTTAAATTTCAGCGGCCATTTTTTTGAGGATATTTTGGCGATTTAATGATTGCACCATAACAACGCGAATAAATTTTTTATTAACTAAGGTAAGGTTGGAATGAATATTTATTTTTTTAAAAAAATTTTTTCAGAAATTGAATGACTTCTTGTCATCTAAAGTTATGATTTTATCAATGGATTTTATATAAATGATAGGTGTGACATAGCTGGAAAATGAAAATTAACACCAACCAAATATAAAATCAACGGGAGTAATCACCTTTTCAAATTTTAGACAAAATGATTGACATAATTATGTACCGAATTATTGAAACGAAATAAGATTCGTGGAACCTGAATTTAAAAAAAAAGAAGAAGAAATTTCCTGTTTGTTCTGAATATTTCTTAAGATACGGGTTCACTCTCATCATAAAAAGCCCGCCAATATAATACACAAACCCCGCCAATATCTGTATACTTTTATTATATTATTTTAAATTATCATTATTTCTAGGTTTAATGATTTTTTTCTCTTCTATCTTTTTTAAAAAGAGATTTACATATTCCTGCTGTTCAGTTTGCCTAAGATGGTGGGCACTAGACGTTTTCACATAGATTGGATCATGATAGCGTTCATAATAGTGTTTGTCATCACGGAACTGATACTGGAAATTCACGCTTGTTGCATAACCGATAAAGATCAAAGTTTGAAATAAACATAAATAAATTGTTTTTTTGAAATAATATTTATAAAGATGAAAAAAATCGTTTTTTTAAAAAATAAACAATTTGGCTTATAGTTACTTAATACAATCCCATACGGAAACTATAATAAGCCAACATATTATATAAAATCTACCAATATTTTTAAAAAATTTTCGTTAATCTTTCCCAATCATTTTATAACTTGTTCATTTTGTTAAATTGTGTTGGGTATAAAAAAAAATTAATTTTGAATATAACGACTACTCAAAGGGGAAATATATTATCTACATTTATTTATTTATTTTGCATTTACTTTCTGACACTTCTTTTTTTTTAAAAAAAAAAATTTGAAAACAGGAACTTCTCCTCTGGTGGAATTGCCGCCCCATAAATATTACGCGCGAAATCCCAAAGTTGAAAAATTCGATATTAATTTATTTAGATGATTCTATTTTTTTTATTGTTAAAGAACGATGATATTAACACTAACTTAGACTGTCGATTTAGCGTTAGAATGCATTATATAGTGCAACATACATTGGGGTTCGCCATTCAAAGACATTTTGACGAAAAAAAGCCCTTCAATGGGGTCTAGCACAGCCAATGACGTTTACTACAGCTGTGTACGCACACTTTTAGTCAATAAGTCGACAGTTTAGGTTAAAATTAATGTCATTGGTAAAAAAAATAGGACTTATCACTTGTGAACGACCAGACCTACACATTCTTTATAAGCTTTTATTTATTTTTTCCTGCACCTCTCACCGTTCGGATTGATTAAATGAATGAATGAAGGTAGGTTAAAAAATAAATTCAAATTTAACTTGTTTTTCTTTTAAAAAAAATGTGCAAAATGATAGGGTTCGGCTTTCAAGATGGCGGTACTAACTTTCTACACCATCATTTCTACTATCCTCTTATTGGCTATGATTATCTTGATCGCCGTGGCTTAGAAAGGAAAGGAAGAACAAAAAAAACGCGTTATCATGTTAACACTTTGGCTTTACGCACGCATTTTTATACGCTTTATTACTTATAAATACCTTTTTTTTTAAACATTTTGTTTTATATCTCAAAATATAAATCATATGTCAGCTGTTATTTTTTTTTAAAAAAGTTCTTCGAACGTTCACTAACACTTTTGTGAAAATAAAACTGTTTCTAACTTTTAATTCCCAGATTTTCAGGAAAAATGAGTATTGGTGTTTAAATCATGACCTCGAAATAACAAGTCTTGAAAAAGCCACAAATAAATTTTTTTTTTTAAATATTCATTTTGACCTTACCCCCCCCCCCCTTCCTCTCTCACCTATTAAATTTTATCATCCCCCCTCCGCCATTTTATTTTCTTTATTTTATAATTTACTATCTTTAGAAATAGCTAAAAAAAATATATAAATATTCATAAAATTACAAATTAAATATATATTTTTTTATTGCCCTTACGGTCCAAATTCTATATCAGATTTTAAGTAAAATAAATAAATGTAAAATTTTCCAGCAAAGTAGATAAATGCGTTTTTTGGACGTAGGGTTAGAAAAAACGCATCTATATAATAACCCGAGTTTTTTTGAATTGTAAATTATAACATTTTTTTTCTTTCTACTCTTCTTCTTCAAATATTTTTTCATGATTCATATATTAAATTTGGATTGTTTAATAATATAAAATTAATCGCTATGATATTTATTTAAAATATTATATTATTATTATATAAAAAACTTTATTTTTGCCAATAAAATATAACATAATAAAATTTTTGTTTGCCTTATTACTTATTTTCCGTTTAATGACGATTTCCAGGTTTACCCTGATTGGCCAGTTTTTTTTTACAATCGGAGGCCCTTCCTGACATTAACTCGCTAGGCGGTTTTTTAGACCCCGTTTAAAATAGGTAAATGGTTATACTTTGAAGATAACAGTTTTTTAAACCGATTAAAAATATCAGTTTTACGTAAATATATCTAGTATTTATAAGGTTAATGTTTGCCGAAAATAATAAAATAAATAAATTGCCTTATAGGAATTGAGAAAAAATTCTGATTTTTTATTTTTATTTTAAAGGATATTTGATTTAAATCCCATTTTATGATAAAAATATAAATAAATTTAAAAATATGGCCTAGAAGGAAAATTAATTATTGAGGGCAGAATCTGAGCTCAATATATTTTTTGATGTTTAAGCATATTTTTTCTGGGAAATTTATGAATTATAAATTATAACAATATTGAATAGACTATAAAAATAAAATGTTAACAATATTTGATTATTTTAATTAAATTAATCTTTTTTTTTTATATAATATAAAACTAGAGTTAATACTCATAAAATGGCGTCAATGAATAAAGAATCAATATTTTATTTAAACGGCAGAATAAGATTTTTTTTAAAGCTTAAAATTTTAATTATTTTTATAAAGGGTTCAATTCAAAAATAATTCTGGATAAATATATCATAATGTCATTTTAATAGTAAAAATTTATCAATTAATTATTATATGCAAAATATAATATAAAATGAAAACGAGGTAGTGGAGACTGGGGTTAGGTAAATCCCAGGGCCTGGCAAACCACTTAATCTCATTTTATTATTAAATACACCAGTTAAAATTTTATTATAATATAGTTTTTCATCCATAAGCAAAAAATCTTTTGAAACTAACTATTTAAAATAGAAGCAAAAAAAACTAAAATAATTATTGATTTAAATCGTGATTTTTTTTTATTTATTTAATACAAAGTTTCTATATTTATTCTGTTAAGACCAACCAATCCAAAATTTGTACTTTTTTTAAGAAATTTTTACTACCGATAATTCCTAAAATTAATTATAATATATTTTTTTCAATAATAAATATTTTAAGAAATTCTATCTATCTTTAGCTATTATAATATTAATATTTCACTAATAATAATAAATAAATATGTCATATTTCATTTCATGATGGATTCATTTATTATTAATGAATATACATATATTGGATAAATGTAAAACATCGGTAGCAGTATATAAAAAATTTAGGGTTAGAAGGTTAAAATATAATCTAAGAATGGTCAAAGATCAATAAGATAATCAACGTGAGTGAAATCACGTATAAAGGTACGAAATTCTTTACAAACGAATTTATATAATAATAGATGATGGTGAGAAATCGAAGAAAATATTTTTGGCCCCCTTTAGGCCAGCCAGTAAGTAATTACTTGTTTACAATCATTTAAATTGATAGAAATATGAATACTACTCCACGGAGACGTTAAGTTGGAAAAATTAAAGCGGGGACGTGTTATAACATTTTATATAATGCGTTTTATATGAAATGTCTCAAATCATAAATAAACAAATTAATCAATCTTTATTTATATATAGATTAATTACATTTTTACTAGTCAAATTAATCTACTTACTCTCAAATTTAGTTTCACGAACACTTCCCAGAAATTTATGTTCTTCTAAAAAACGAATTTTTCTTCGCGAACCATCCTTTAATCTAAAAATACGCTTTTGGCAGCAATTTGAATGAGGAACTGAAACTACAAAAATACATATTTCTAGGTTCAAGACTTGGTCTAGATTATAATTCGAAAAATTTCTCCAGAGACCTGCAGGTCCGGCCTGGGCCTAAAATTTTTTTAAAAAAAATATCCGGGCCTAACAGTGTAATTTAAATCCAAAGATTTGAAATCGCCATTATTAGCCTATAAAAATCAAAAATAAATATAATATATTTTTGAAAAAAATCCGAGCCGGGTCTGAAAATATAAAACCCGGGCCGGGCCGAAGAAATTTTTGAAAAAAATCCGATTCGGACCAGATGATGCAAATGGTACCCTCTCTGCAGGTTTCTGAATTTATCTATTTATTTTTGACTTTATTGAAACATTTACATTTTTTTTATTCTAATTAAAATTATTCTTTTCTTACAATATTTCATTAATAGTATGGATAAAATATTGAGTTAAAAATATTCTTCAATTTTACCAGAAAAAGCCCTTAACGAAAATTTGACTTTTAGTACCATAAAATTATATGTTCATAATTAAGCCCTTATGATGTCCATCATCATACCCTTCAATCACAAAATTGATTATCATTTGCCTCATTAAGTTAAGATCAAGCCCAATGTTCATGTCTGTCACCCATTTTGAATACACACCGACCATTTTATATTTTATTCTTTGTATGTACGGTAGATACGATGTCACTTCGATTTCTATAGGGTATAACCCTTAATTATTCATTCGATAAAAGGTTACCACTTATAATATTTTCATCTATTTATAACTGCTATAAATGAATTTGCAAATGTATCTTGAATAGGATCTTTTGAGCAATAAGAGGATCGGATACTATTACTACATTCTGCTGAGTTTTAAATTAAAAGATAGAGTTTGTTTTAATAAGTTTTAATCCTTACCTATTTCGATTGATCTAGGAGGTGAGAAAGATCCATGACAAAAGCCATATGCATTTCCTTCAATACAGTGCTGAAAGTATAATGATCAAACTGGGTTAATTCGTCATTAGTTGATTGAGAACTTCAACATATACGCCTTCTTGGTCTATTATTTTTAAAAGTTATTTTAGATATATGGAGCAAAATCATGAGTAACCCCTACATTTTGGGCACTTAATTTTATTCCATTAATAATATTTAGACAAAATAGTATATGCCATAGACGCATAAGACCCGCCCACGCTCCATACGACGATTCCCGCCTCATGACAGAGGCCACTGATATTAATGTTTTAAACCTTACGGGAACGTACGTTTAGCATAAAATAGGAGTCTTACTTAAAAAAAAGGATCAAAATTATCTAACGTTTTTTTTTGTAACGAAGTATTTAAAAATATGAACGAAGTGCGTCTAGGTGACTATATATTATGATAATGAATAACAAATTTAGATCAATTTCTTTCTTCCTTCCTTCCCTTCCTTCCTTTCTTTCTTTCTTTGTAAGAAATGATTTTATACGAGGGTGGGGGGGGGCTTAGAAAGCTTGTCTCCCTAAAATAGCCCCCCCCCCACCTCGTTCTAGAACTATTCCTATTTGTTAATATAAATAAAGAATAACTATTAAGGGAATATGGTATATATATATATATACAACTTTTAAAAATGAGAAAAAATTAAAAACTTATAATAAAAAATAATTAAATAAATCTCTCCATTTTACGTGAAATAACCTGCTATAGCTTTGATAAAACGCAGGCACATCAATGGTTTTTTAAGTAGGGGATATTTTTTTTTTTAACTTAGAAGCTTCGATATAATTGGTTGAATAAAATGAGGAATTGATTAAAAAGCGTTATTCAAAAAAAAATTAATAAAGAAAATTGAAATGTTAAGGTTAATTCCCCAAAGTGAAAAGACAATAAGGATTTGTTTCGTATCAAATTATTTCTTTAAGCTCTCCACTAAAAATCCTTGATAAATTGGATTCATTTATTATTACATGTAAGATTATTGGGAAAATTGGCTAAGAATTAGTTTTCATTTTAAAAAAACTTATAAATCACATTATAAAAAAGGGAAAAATGAATTATAGAGAATAAATATAAATATTGCTTAATTTTTTTTAGTGCGCCACAAAAAAAAATGGAGCGTATCAAACGCGTTTAACAATTACACATATATATATATAGTAAACGCGATTCGTAAAAAAAGCAACGCGAAATTAATCGCTTGCGAAATCACATCTGATTCGCCTATCATCGCTTATAGCAACATATGTTTTTTTTTGACGGGATTTCGTCATTTCGGCTCAGTATTTATATAAATTATTTCTTATCTGGCTTGATAATTTAAATTACGTAGCGACTTATTTCGCATCGCTTGAGCGAATCGCGCTTACTATAAATGCAGCGTAACTCATTTCAAATGGTTATCGTGCAAATTGGTCAAATTACTGCTTGCCATTAGAAATCATTTTTTTAAAAATCATACTTTTTATTTCATTCATTTTGCACGTTGCTATACTACGAGATCTTTGCTCGCGAGAAAACTGATCAAACCTTCTCACTCAGATGTGAATAATAATGGAGGAATCACTAACATAAATGTTCTTCTGGACAAGAAGATCCCCAACAAAAGTACCATAGACAATTATACTTTACGGACCATGCTCAAATTTAGGAAATTTTTTTAGAATAAAAAAGGGATAATTTAAAAAATTTCCTATTTTTAAAACATTCAAAATTTTTTCCAAAAATTGTGGTATTTTTGTCAGATGTTTTTTTCTCCCTTTGTCTGGAGTACTTCTATTTTGTCTAGGTCTTTTTGCCCTTTTATGTCAGTGATTCATAATGGTGGGGAGAGGGGGGGGACTAAAAATCTTTTCCTAGTTGTTTAAT